TAAGATCAAGAGAAAGAAAAAGAGAGATAATAAAAAATAAAAAAAATAATTAAAAAATTTTTGAATGAAAAAAAATAAATTTAATTTAATATTTTGATTTTGATTGTTTAATTTTCAACTTTTATTTTTTAAGATAATTATCAATTTTTTTTGCTTAATGATTATCAGCATAATTACAATACCACATCAAAAAAGCATTTAAAATCTTCGTTTAAATTTCATTTTGCCCCTTTTTGTATTCTCTTTGAAAAAGTCTGGCCTTCAAACAAAATGTTCTGTGTCTTGCAAAAAAAGGTTGGGAAAATTGGCTAATAAAATCAACTTTATGCAATATCCATACAGGTACGTGCGCGTGATAATTCAGTTAGTCCTAACCGAGTCGGCACGGGTTGATTTGCATTTGGCTTTTCGCTTTTCCCTGTCTCTCTGACACAGAAACAGTGAGTGACTGCTACGGGTGAGAGCGCGGCGGGTGGAAACAGCAAGCTTGCCCATCTGGCGAGCAAACACAACGCTGCAGAATTTTCGGGGCGAAATCACTGCTCGCACACAATGCAGACTGGACGCACAGAGTGCGCGTTTTATTTGCAGCCGGGATTTGGTGCCTTGACATTTTTGGCAAACATGCAGCCCTCGCTGTTGCCTTTCATCGCGGACGAGAATGTCTCCGTGGTTGAAATGAACTGACTGACCGAGAGACCAAGGGAGTCGGCACCGTGCATTATATATGATTTTGGCTGGTCCACTCGTTCCAGCGAAGTCTCCCGAGAGGGATAAGCCTGTCATGGGGCTAAACTTTTTCAAGAATCGGTGCCACGTTCAAAGTTTCTGGATTTTTTTTTTTTTAATACTTAATGACATTTCCTAAAATAAATATAAGTGACATTTGAAGATGACATAAAGACCCTAATTATGTCACTTTAAGGGTTTTATAAAGCACAAAGATCAAATGATCAAAATTATCTCCTACTTCTTCTAATCTTTTATACCTATAAATTGGTTTGAATAAAAATAAAATGATTATTTACTTTCCTGAATATAAAATCGCTATGTATTTTATAATGTAACTTATATGCAAATAAAATTAACCCTTATAGCTTTTATTCATATTATCTTGACACAATTTTACATATTTTCTTTCAACTTTTAAAAACCAAACCGCTCCTAGATTTTAAATTATAAATCATAACCCCTGTGTGTGCATGTTCATTTGAAATTAAAGCTGTGTTTTGCTTACGACAAAATTACAATCTGATTCAAATTTCGTGCGCCCGCCGTTGTAATGCTGTAATAATTGTTAACGGCTGCCAATCAGATAAGCCCAGTCAGCGAAATCACCACGACCGAGTTCTCTTTGCAAAAGGTGACTTTTTAAAGCTCCGCCTGTTGCAAAAGAAAGAAGCTCTCGTTTTCGCTAGGGACGGAACGTGTCATCCCGCGCGAGGTGCGAACTGCTGTGAGTAATTACTCTTGAGCAATAATTACCACCGAGCCGAGGCTTTATTATTGCGCACACGTGCCAAAATGCTGAAGGAAAAGCGTCACTTGATTGAGAGCAGAATCGAGGCCGTTACTTTTCATCTTCACAGGGGAAAATGTCAGTACAGAGTATCGAGGTTAATCCCTCCAGTAAAAATATGTACGAGAAAATCGCTCCTTATTTGCCGAGCAGGCAGAACCCTTTTGCCAACAAACTTTATTATTTTAATTTATCGCTTCGTCGTCCTCCAGTAATTGACCTTAAAGCAGGTCATTTTACTGCTGCCAAGCATGGAAGACGGACGCCCCGACGACTTCGCTCCCTCGTCCGGCCTCCTATTTACGACTCGTAAAGTTTTTCCTCCGGGGGTTGTATGTAGGTCTGGAGAAATAATAAAGTTCGCATTCATTGCGCCGCTCGGCCAGAACCTATAAAAAAGCCGCAGCTGCTTGCTACACTTTAAAATTGCGTCTCGCAATACGAACTCTGTCGGGTGATTGATTGAAAAAGCGCGCGCGTTAGCTTATTGAAAAAAGGATTGGTGTTCATAAAAGGCGTGAGAACATTAACGAGGGTAATTGAAACTTTTCAAATTAAGAAAATTGAACGGAAGTATAGCCGCTTGCTTCCATCGATTTTTACTTAAAAAATTTCTTGGGCAAAGTTTTACTGCGCATGATTGTTAAATTTCCAAGTTGTTCAATCCTAGCAACCTTTGATAATATTAGAATTTGAAATTGCAGTGCCACCCTTAAATCACAATTTTGGCACAAAAATAAATAAATTAATTAATTAAATAAAAAAACGCTGAATTTTTATATGGAACGTTTGGAATGAACTTCCATGGTCACGGCGGAATAAAAGCTTTGTTTCTTTTGTATAAATTAAATACATAAGTTGAAACTTTCGGTATCATTTTACTGATTCTTTTCAATAATATAACCTAGAGCTGAGTACCAGAACAATCCATGGGATGTAGTGCAAATTAATCCGGCCTGTGAAACGGAATTCATCTGGCTAATGCACTTGCGGTTGCAGTAAGCGTCGCTTCTGAGTGTTTGCAAATTCTGCTAAGTGAGCCAAGGGTGGCCACATGTGAGTAAACACAAACGTGTCCTTTGCTCGGGTGGAAAAAGAGCCTGACAGAGACGAGAGAAAAGCAGCCGAGAGTGGCCCCGGGACAAAGCGCATTGATGTGGTCGCGCCTTTGAACTCCTTTCGACCCGGCTGATGGTCTGATGGGTTGATTAAAATTTCAAGCACTCTCGAGTTGCAACTTTCTTTTCAATGGCCTTTTATTTCCGTCGATATGCAGCATTTCATTACATTGCTCGAGTGGGTCAATTCGAGAGAAACAAAGCCAGTCTTCATTCGTAATTCCAACCACGTTCGCTGCACACTGATTTTTAATGCTTGTGGGAATAGCTTCTTTTCGCAATCATCTTGCAGAGTCTGAAAAGGGAGTAAAAATGAGAACGTTTGCGGCTTGGAAGTTGTTAGGGGCAAACTTGTGCAATTAACGCCACTGCTCTTTTTATCAGGTTAATCCTTGTCCTACTTTCGTTGGCTGGAAATCGATCTAAATTCTCCAATTGTAACAGAATTCAGTGAAATTATTTTGTTCTGTTGTAAAAATTGCGAGAATTTTTTAACGTAGATATTATTTTGTTACTATTTTTCATGTCAGAAAAGTCTGGTCTCCAGGGCCCTACCATTCAAACAAAGTCGTAATATATGTATATTTTTGTGGTTGCTTAAGCTCGGTGGAAATGTCTCTGTGTCACCATATATCCCAATAAAATAATCCTCCATTTCGCAAAGGTTCCCTCAACACCCACACGAATTTGCATCTAGACAAATTTGCATGCGCGCGCTCACTGCCGCTTTATTTCAACTGCCTCTCCGCAGAGACGAGAATAAATTGCTGCGTGACACGGCCGTTTCAACTGTTCTCTCCCCACCTTTTCCTGGTCGAGCACAAAGACCTGCCTGCGTTCCTTGACATCGTTTTTTTCCTGCCTCAAGGGCGCACCTCCCTCTACCGAAGACAAAAATCGTGAAAACAAAAACCGGCACTGCCACTTTAATGAAACGGCTTCCCAGTTCGCTCGAGGAGGGAGCAGAAAAGGCAAATGAAGAAAAGCGTCTTTTTATTCAACATTTGTCCGGGCTCCTGCGACGTAGGCGTTCCGTTCGCCCGCTGTGTCGAGCCAGTTGCCTAATAAGCACTTTTGAAGGCGTTCTCTCTCTTTCTCCCTCTGATCTGGCAGGAGCAAGATCATGGAAGAAGTTCTCTGGCGGTGGCACGCGTGCAACTGTTGCGTTTTATATACGTACGTACGTTAAACGCATTAAGTTGTGCTAATCCCACACGGAGTATAGTGGGTTCGCGCAAACTTCGCCACAAGTTGATAATTGTGTATCTCGTTCGGCTGCACGTTCTAATGGAGAGCGAAGCCGATAATCCTCAGGGAATAAGCCAGCAACGAGAAATAATGGGCCACCCGCACAAAATGGACGGCCCGAGTCGTCTTAAATCTGGGAAAGTGTATCCACCACACACACTCTGGCAAGAAAAATTACGTCCTTTTTATACGTCGTGTGTGACGGCACTGATTGATCGAGCACAGTTTTTGCTACTCTATGGCGGTCTTCACGCGACTATGATTTTGCCCTTGTAAATCTTCAGAAAAAATATTCTTGATAAATTATATATTTAGGTGAAAAGGATGAAATAAATTTGGTTCAAATATTAATATTAATTCAATCCGAGACATTAATTCAGTAATATTATAATCGCAAAAGCATTCAAGCAAATTTGTGTATTCATTGTTCTAATATTTTTAATGCCTCTTTAGTTAATTTTCTGTAGCAGAAGAAAGTTAGTTCAAAATATAATCGTATAATTGTGAACTTGGAAGTTTTACAAAAAAATTTAAATTAAAATTTTATTATATTTTTATTTTATTAATCCTAAAATTAGAAATTAGATTTTTACCAATGAAATATTAAGTTTTTTCAACAATTGTTAAATCCTTATATTCATTTATATTTCTTTTACCTTCAAACCACCTTTGTAAGTCTTCTGCTGATGCAGCTAATACTCCAACAAGTGCTTTTGTTCCGCCAAACAAGCAATCACGCGTAAAATATTCGATTAATATGCATGGAGTGGATTCACAGTAGACGTTGCTTGCTCGTGTACAATCAAATCGCGCTGCTTGTCAGCTGCAAAGAGTAACAACTCCATTACCATCGCGCGCTACAAGATCCAAATGTAATAAAACAGCGCGCGGCAGAGCTCACGAATCCACGGCAAATTCAATTTGGGCCCAACTTCTGCCGGTCCAGAAGCTTTCTCTCTACGGCACAAAGGGAAACTTTTCTCTCTTCCTCCGCTCAGCGCATTGTCAGCATTCGTGTGATTGGCCCACTTCGCTCTCAGCGCCCGACCGCAAAATAAATAATTCCCCTTTTCTTTCCGGCCAGATTTATATGGGACGTGTCGCTTTCGTTGCAGGTGATGTCCCTGTTGTACAGATTCGCCCGGCTGCCTGACCGGGCCAACACCCACGTGTTCACCTTCATCGTGACCAGGTCCGTGACCAGGGACCTCGAACGGGACGTCACCTCCAGGGAGTTCACCTGTGGATACCAGCGATGGGCAATTACCTTTTCGAGGAACGACAAGGTATGTGGGAAATAAAATTGTTAACTCTTTTATATTTATCAAAAATATACACAAACAAAATTTTATTTGGTAGGTCTGTCAAAATTTGTAAGCATGATTTATAAATTGAATTAAAAGAAGAAAGTAAAGTAAACTATTATAGAAAATCATAAGAAGCTCTCTTTGGCTTGATGAGATAAAATTAAATTAAAATTATTTTAATTTTATTTTAATAACCAATTTGATATTGAAAAGAAGGAACCTCTTTATCAGAAATATCATTATTTTTGTTGTTTACTTGTCCAAATTTTTACATCACAATGTGAACATTTAATTTTATTTTTGAAACCAATTTTTATTTAAAAAAAGGGATTGAAAAAATGAATAATCCTATTTGCATATTAATTGGAATGTTTAATGTTTTGCAACAATTTATTTATGCACAATTCCTAAAGCTCCGATGGAAGGAACTTAAAACTAAATTAACTCATTTCTCCCGTCATTTTTTCAACTCACTTCACTTACAATTAGATTCTTTCAAGTAAAAAGAACTTTTCCAATAGTACGGCTCTTCCATTCAAGTTGCAAATCAATTAGAACTTGGCAATTGAAGTTGATTCTGTGCTTAAGTGGCATTTGCTAATTGGTTCCGTTTCGTTTGATGTCTGTTGTTGGAGCCAGTTGAATTGCATTAGGGCGGTGGAAACGTGCGGCCAGGCTGACCAGTCGTTTTTCTTTTCTGTTCGACTTCAAACATTGCCAAATCAAGCGTCGCCCATTCATCTGCAGTGCATTGTGTCAGTTGCGTGGGCACGCACAAGGCCCAAACAAAGGCCCAATTAATCGTCGGACGCAAATACACAGACACACTACTAATGCCGCCTTGATGTTTGTCCGCATTTGTGCATAAAATTATCACTCGCATGCACGCGGTGAGGCTGTTTGCCGGCCGTTAATTTGCACAAAGAGCCCGTGTCAATTTGCATGAATAATGGCCGCGATCTCATCAACTAATGGACTTTAACGATCACCCTTTGATCAGGAACGGATGTTTTTTCTCCTCTCAGAGTTCAGCCTGCTTGCTTTAATTTGTTTTCGCAACATACTTGAGCTCCGAGCCAAAAATCCACACCTCTCTTAATTAATGTATGTTCACGCACGCCTTCTCTGCTTGCTCATAACTTTTGGCCCCTCTAATGCTGCGGCTTTGCTCTCCCAGGACTTCATCCCCTAAGAGCAGTTCTATCTTGCGGAGGATCAGTTTTAGCAAAATTATTATCATTTCCCGGAAACACCTTTCCGGTTTCTTTTTATAACACGAAAAGCAGCTGCCGAGATTTTATTATGATTGAGTTTGGATGGGAAAGGTTGCGACCCTAATGGAAACCTCTAACGTCAATACAAACAAAAATTTACATCCGCTCGTCCGAGGGGATTTATTTTGAAATGGGTGAAAGACGCGCGGAGGTGAGTGGGGACCCCATTCAGCAACAGCTGCTCTTTGAATCGGGCATAAGGCACAGAGTTTTGAGCTTACGGCTTCGCAGACTGCGGAGGAGAACTAGAAAACGGTGTAGTTCCTTAATGGCTAATTTTAACTCTGGCCATCCAAAAAGTAATTTGAAAAGTAGATTTTCACCAGACTGAAGCATGCAACGTGGGAGTTAAAATTAAATGCATGTAGTTTAAAGTTTCTCAGCACGTTGTTAAAATTCAAGTGTTATTTTATGTAACAGTTAAATCTTTCCATTACAACTTCATGGAAATAAATTCCTACTTCTCTCTTGTATCATAGCTAGTATTTTGTAATTTTATAATTATAAAATACATTTTTAGAAATCTCTTTCAAAGCGGGTCTCAAGGATTGATGTAAATTTATTAGGGATTAAGACTTTTGTCAAAAAAAAGTGTTGAAAAAAAGTAATGAAATATCAATTCAATATTTTTTTCGTGCTTAAAATGTACAAAAAGTAAAAAATCAATGGTTGGGGATATAAATTAATCATAACGCTCTTCGAACGTTCTATTTCCAGCAATAAATTTTATAGCCTTTGAATTTGGAATGAATTTTCATGAAGTGCCGCAACATCTTGCAAACGCGCAGTTTTGTTCGCCGAGCATAGTTTGACAACTTTGATTTCATCAGCATCTATCCATCTCTAACTCTCGCGAGCGAAAGTTAGTTCACTAAGAAAGTTGATAAAATACGATCTTTTGCCCATCACAAGCAAGACTATAGAAACTGGCCTCCTTCTTCACCACCGTCACCAACTAACTCTCGGTATAACACGCGAGGAGAACGAAAAGTTGAACTCGCCTTTTTCCTGGAAAACTATTCCCTTCTTCCTTTCCAAGCTCTCTTTCCTACTCCCTTGTTGCTGCCACCAACTTAATCTTCCTCAAAGAGGCAATATTTGTTAATTGCTAGGTAAAGTTTGCAACATTAATTTCCCCTGCGCTTATTTATAGTAAACAAAGACGAACACCGCCATCCAAAGAAAAAAAGATTTCAATCACGCCTTGCTACCGTCGTTTGACGGGGCAATAAACGATTTCAACCACGCAATCTTTCAACGTCGGTTGCTCTGCGTAAACATGCTTTGAAGTGGATTATAAAAATCTACGGATGTACTTTTATGTGTTCACGACAGGTCTCTATTTTCCCGGTCATAAATATTCCTGAAATAGACCGCTTATAAATATGAAAATGGCAGGGAAAAATGATAGGGCGATGAGTTTTATTACAATATGTAACCTTTGTCCATTCCTCTCTTGGAATGATGAATGGCTGCACTCAAACAATACACGTCGACTGACACACACCCTAATGCATCCATCGATATCTGTCTGGCCGAACTACTGAAATGGCGAGAGTCGGAATAAACAGACCCTCTCGCATCGGAACATCGCCGCCGGCCGCAGGCCAACAATTAATTGGAGGCCCGCTTAAATATTTGCTCTGATTTTCCGGCTGCGAACGCGCCCGCCGGCCGTGAAGATGAAAAGATCTCCCGTTCAGTCAGCCTATTGCGGCTGAATAATTCAGTTCGACGCGCTTCCCGGAAAAGACTAATTGAAAATGTGATTGCTTTTGACTGGCACGTGCTCCCCTCGCTAATTAGCTTTCAAAATTTGCGATTGATTTGTTTTTGAATGATTTTGAATGCTGATTTCCAGAGTTAATATTGACACAGTTTATTATTTTTAAATTACGAAAAGGAGCTGCCGGTTATTTTCAGGTCACAGAGCAGACGTCGGGGTTATCAATTAATCTCTTTCGCGAAAGAGGAGCGACTGGAAAAGAGACAGATGGTCTGAACCGCGCCAGATTGGGTGTCGCCGCCGCGAATGAAATTAATCGATTGCTCAACTCTCGCTATAGCTTTCTCTGTCAGCTCTTCTTCCCGGCCTAATGATGCATCGTCAGACCGGATTCACTGCAAATAACATTCAATTATCCCGCAGGCAAAGGGGCAAATTTCGCTCCTCGCGCTCTCCTTTTGCATGCAAATGTGCGCGCGCCTCGCTCTCTCGCGCGCGCACCTCGTTTAATATTAAAATTGCACACCGCCGGAGCAGCGGCAAAGCCAAGGAATAACGGAGATGGAGCGAGTTAGAGAAGCTTGAGTAGGATATTAAAATTTTCCGCAGCTATGGATTGCCTCCGTTTTTTAATGAGAGGAGACAGCTGCATGAGCGAGCACATTATTCAGAACAAATTCAGTGGAATGGCAAAAAAATATGTAAATAAATGCTGATCACAGAAAGCATATTTGAGAGTCAAATGTAAGTTGCAACAATAAAATCTTTTTTTTTAGTAAACGCTAATATTTTATGTTGGAGTATGACATCTAAAATTGTCGAATTAATTACCACCAATTTTCATTTCTGGGTGTTTAAAATATCTAATCTTTATCAAATGATTAAGATTTAATTTAAATTAAACTATAACATTTATTAAAAAGAAAAAGCTTAAAAACAAAACTTGAGAGGTTAATTTTCATAATTGTTTGTTCTGACTTATTTGTTTTGAGAGAAAAAAATTATTGAATTGAAATGAAATTGTACTACATAGCTATCGGTTAAATGACACTATAATCAATTTTAATTATGTGACTCTCTTATACTTAATTGCGCGTGCTGAAAGAATATAATATTTATTTGAAATTTAATTATGTATAATTTGCAATTTATTCTGTTTTTCAGATTTATAATTAAGGAGTAATCAGAACTAACCTTATAGTTATAGTACCGCATAATAAAGTTCTTCATTTTTATTATCTTTTCATAATTTTTGGTGAGAATTTAACTAAACAATCTCCTTTTCCTGGTGACAGAACAATCAACAAAATCTTGAAACTTATCCCTTCCCATCCACATCTGTATGCAAATTTCATGTCGTCTAGACTGTACTTGAGTGAAATTGTCTAGACCAAAATGCTCGGCCAATTTCGAGAGGCTCAGCTATTGTTGTAAGAGTTTAATGGAACGGCTGCCTGGAATAACCAGCGATTCATCATCCGCACTGTCCTTGGCACGAAAGAGTCCATCACGGGCAAAAATCCAGCATGCATAAATACAATCTGCCGAGAGAAGTCTATATATGCATACTTCACACATGATTGAAGGCTTAAGTGGATGGACGCGATCGATCGATCGATAAGTGGTCTCTGTTCACCGAAGAAAGGAGGAAGGGCCGGCGTGTGTGGTTAGTTATTGTAAGATTGCGTCCGATTTCCGGCAATATCCTAAAAGGACTGCTGGCGTGCTCCTGCACGTTTGTTTGGCCGCCGGCGAATGATATAAAGCGGCGACAGGCGCTCACTTTAATCAACATCGTCCCGCGAGTGAGTGCCCAAATTTCGCTCGCACCAACATGACAGTCCGCAGGCGCTGCCGAAATTGAAATTCGGGTCTGGTTTCCTTTGGATGAACAGGAAATTTCACTCACTCTGTCGCGCTCTGCAGAAATAATGCCACCCTTGTTTACCCCGGCTTATGTATGTGGAGGGTTCCGAGAAGGCCGGCGGTGATTTCATGCGTTGCATACCCTCGGTGGCTAATCACGGCCTTACCTCTCCAGACGCGAAACCGGAAAAACTGGTTTTCGCACCGGGGGCAAGATGAGATACCATCTCCAGGTCAGGCTGTGCGATAACGATAAATGTTTATGGTGAAGGTTAAAGTGGCACTTCCACTCAAAGAAGATTTATTTGATGATGATTGATTCTCCACTTTTTAAATTATTTCCTTTTAATAATCAAGTAAAATTTTTGAGGGTTTTTTTCAGCAAAAAATTTTTAATTTTTTTTTTTTTTAAATATTTAAAAGTATCAAGAATTAGTAATCCTTAATAGTGTTGACGTGAAAAATAAGCAAACGGCATAAATATCGAATTTATTAATTTTTTTTAAATTATTTTTTAATAATATTAAAAAGTGAGGATTTGAAGGTTTAACAAGGGAGTATGAAGAAAATTTCAATCGATAAAAGATACATTGGGGGATATTCACACGCTAAGTTAGCTTATGGATTTTTGCTAACTTTTAGCATGTGAATATCTCCCATTGATTATTATTTCTCATATTTACGGGATCAAAGGGTCTAAGCTTTTAGTAAATATGAGCATCATTAGTGCAAAAAAGCTCATACAAAATAAATTCAGAGAATATCAAGTTGCCTTTTATAATTTGAAATGTTTGCATGAGAAAAGTCCACTGTCAGAAAAAAATAGTTTTAGCATATATGCAGGTAATGTAATTTCGCTGTTTCGAGCTCTGGGATTCAATTTGGAATTTCCCAAAAAACCTTATTTTTGTGCTTTTCCGTTGAAATTGCACACCGCGTGAGCACATACTATATACATTTTGGCGCAAATTCGCAACACGCTGCCGTCATAAAACGAAACGAGGCCTTTTTTGCCTATGCAAATGCTTATTCCTCTTTTGCAGCTCTCACGCATCAGGCCTGACATAAAAACACACTGCCAACCAGAATTTGCATGAATGTGTGAGCGGCAGAGTAAAAAAGGGACAGCCCTTTATAAATAGGGGCTGAAAAAAAAACAATTACGGGAGAGGTGCGTAACGCGCGCTCGTTATACCCTCCGGCGGCCGACTTAAAATTTGCTTCAGGTGCATTTTTGTCGGTTGTCACTCATCCTGCCGCGGCCGACTGAGCACGCCACTTTGCAAGCGAGAGGTAATTCTGTGTCCGTTTAGTGTGTCGCAGATAAAAGAGGAGCTTTGCATTCACTTTATGTACGCAGCCGAAAAAGAGATTTCGCGCTCTCTCGGCCAATGAATACAAATTCAGCTGACGCGACACGTGTTTTTTTTTCTTTGGCGAAATTGCGACAGCCTGCAAACGACCCACTGCGTCACTAACACACACGTCGAAAAATAACTTTTTTGGGCGGCGACTTTGAAGGGTTCTATAAAACTAAACCTCCAGAGTTGTTCATTTTATCAGCAACGCGATTAGACTGGATTAGACCGCAGAGTCAAAAGTTTGTACAAGAGCACGCAGTTTAAAGTGAGCTTCAAAGCCGATCGTACTTTTAAAAGTACCCCTGAGGTTGCACGATGTCAAAAATGTTTTTGGCAACCTTTAATAGTGTTGCATATTATAGTCCCGTTTAATCCAATATTTAATCATAAAAAATAATTTTATTGTTGAAATTCTCAGAAATATGTAGTAAGAATATATTTATGCTTGAAGAGCGGGAGTGGGATTTTTCTTTCACTGACACTTAATTAAGACAGTTTTCTCCAATTTCGTGTAATTGAAAGAAAACTTTCAATTTCCTCTCTCTCGTGGATTATAAAAGAAGACACATACCTTTTTTGTTTGAGGGATGGATTTGAATGAGTAATAATTTGTGCACAAAAACACATATTCAATTTTTAAGCTGGATTAAAATTTCAAGGATAGAAGGAGATGTTGTGGAAGCACACGTACTTTTCATATAAAACTACTGATATTACTATAATTATTACTTTGCAATTATTGGCAGTTAAAAAAAAATGTGTATATAAATGAGGGAAAATACATTTTTCTGACTTTTGATTGAGCGGAAAATTAAAATAAAAAATATGTATTATAATTATATTAAATTAGGCATGATCAGCAAGATTAGTAAGTTATTAGGAATTTTCGTCTCTGCTTTACATTCAAAACTATTTATAAGTTGCAAACAGCCAAAATGTAAATTTATTGCTGACCTGACAATTTTATAAAAAAGCCATAGTTCAGCTCTCAAAACATAATTCCAGAGCGCCTAGGGACGACAATATATTTTAACCTGACTAATTGTAAAGTGTATTTTAATGCATCCGCCTGAGTTACTCCCGCCGCAATAATAATTTTGCCGCACACAGAGTGGTGCAAATTGATTTATTCCACTCAAATAGTCAATTATTGGGCCCAAACGGCAGTCGAGCGTCCCATAAGCGCATGGAAATTAATTTCAAAATTGTTGCCAAAAAGCCGGTCGGTCGATGTACTGCTGAGCAAATAACAATGTCCGGGGGCACGCGTGTGTCGGCTGTAATTTTTTCGCGTATAATTCATAGTGTTGTACGCTTTTTGCGAGGCGGTCGCTCGCACACGGCAATAAAAGGGCCACTTGTTGTGTTTGAGTAGCCATAAAAGAGTATCATTTTCATCTGCGCGAGCTGCTGGTTATCCCCGACTGGACCAATTTCCACGCCTTGCACGCGGCGGACATGCGAGGAAATGGCTCCTTCAGAATTTCCTCAAAGTGCTTCTTCCACGAGCCGAAATACTAGAGCAGCTTGCGGGAATCGATATTTTTATCGCCGCTATACTTGGCACTGTCTGCTGAATTTTTTATCGTCAGTGTCAATTATTCAAGAAATGTTTGCTCGCTGCGAAACTTCCGCTGGCTTTTTGCGAGTCGTCGTCGCAGTTGCGGAATGAGATTCTACTTTGTGCATGATCTGCTCACGCACGCTCTATAGTGAGGAGGAAAGTGAACGTTTTCCCTCGGCGCACGCACGCCGAAATCCACGTCTGCGTTGTTTTTGTGTTTGCTCCGGATAGAACTTTGTTGAATCAAGACCGTGTTTTTGCACGGGTGAGATTTTGAGCCAGACATGAAAAGTTCAAACATTACCTTTAATTTTTAAATTATATGGGTGAAGTGTTCAGTAATTTTAAACAAATATTTTGATGAGAGATTCAAGGATGATGTTGGTTTTTGGTTTTTCAAAAGTTTTAGAATATTAAATGAGTCAAAAACCCAAAACTTTCATGAAGTATTTAGACCCGGGAATTATAGGGCAAAATGTGAGATTTGAAGCTCACCTGACAAAAATGCATAATATAACCTGATATCTTTTTCTTGACAATGCAAGACTAATTCACACGAAACTGAACTGAGGTTATATTTTTGCTTCAACTATGGGCATTTCTTTGGTGTCCAAAAATTTATTCAAGGGGTATTATATCCACTCAAAAGGTAAAGTAAATCATGTACAAAACAGTAAAATAATTCTGAATTTGTATGTCGTCATTATTGCCGTCTCTTTTAACGTAATTTTTTTCATAGTCTATTTTAGAGGAAAAGATAAATAAAAATAATTTATGAAAGAACTAGCATAAAAATTTTCTAAATTTTTCACTTCTATAAAGGTCCATAAATTTCGCGCGCCTCTCTCATCTCCCAAATGTGTCAGCGGCACGAGGCGTGAAAAAGGAAGAGCGTGGGCAAATGAGCACGGGCTCAAATTCAAATACTCGTCGTCGGAAAGGAGATTGTCCTTTGATAAAGTGGGTGACTGCGCTCGGCTTCACTCTATACCGCCCAGTCAGTCACAGGTCGTAATTCACTCCGCTCACACGAGCAAGTTTTTCGCGTCAAGCGCTCGAACGCCCACCGACATTGCACGCAGATTTTTTTTTTAAATTACCAGCGGTACATGTGAAAAGTTTTCGCCGTAGGTGATTTTCCCATATTATTCGCGCCCTCGCATTTCTCGGCGTGCCAGTGACCAGCATCGGCCCCTGGGAAATGCAGCCTACGTACTTACGGCAAGCTCCTCATGCACCTCTCCGCGCGAGAAGTGAAATGCTTTGGATGGGAAACGAGGCCAGCCGCGCTCAACAAGCGGGATATATAAACTCTAACGGCGGCGTAATGGCATAATAGAGGTGCAGAAAATTCCCTGGGGCAAAGTTGCATTTATGGTTAGGTGCTGGGCAACGCTGGAGAGAAACGAGATCGAAAAAGAGCAGAGAGGGGTAGATACGTGTGGAGGTCAATGGGTCGCAGCGTACTTGACAGAGTTGCTCCATTGTGGGACGTACAATTGAATGAACGCATACATACTTAAGTTGCATTGTGCAAAAGCATTCTGTAAAAGTTAATACGTACTGGAAACTGACTTTGCTTTTGTAATTAATGCTACGCCTTTTCGGGTCACAAATAAAAAACCGTATAATCATCGTTTTTATGAATAAAAGAAAAGAAAATTTGCTAACTTCATTTTGAAGATAATAGATAATTAAATACACTTAATTTCTCCACAAAATAACTTTTAATATCTAATTGAATAAAATTCATATTTTTATTTTTTACGAATGGCATTGTTTGTTTCAGGTGCTCGGAGTGTACCTGGTATGGAGAAGCGGGCTCGCGGGGGCGGGGGGCAAGGGGGCGCCCAACAAGGCTAGCCACAACACCGGCATGCGAGTCTACGTCGACTTCACATTCACACTGCTCAACAGAGACCACTTCAGCGTCAACGAGGCGTTCAGTGGAAAACAGGTTGGAGTTTTAGAGCTTTTAACGAGCCCCATTTTGAAACATATTTTCAACCAGGTCAAGTTCACCTGCGACTGTCCAGCACAGGGCAACCGCAACTACATCCCGGTGACGGACCTGCGCACGCGCAATTTCACAGACGAGAACGGCGAGTTTCAATTGGAGCTCACGATGGGCAACGTGCGTACCGTGTTCGACTCTGAGCTGCGCATCACGCCGCAAAGCACGTCCACCTCCAAGCAACAACGCAGACAGCAGCTGCGTCTGGAAACCCAGTATTTTTCGTTTGGGGGCTTTGACTGGAACGTCTCATTAGAACGAGAGGTAAAAAATCAATATAAATTTGAAAAATTTTGGTGCAAGAATATTTTTTATATTTCTCTAAAAATGCTTTAAAAAATACTGCTACTTAAAATTTCAATTAGTTAAATATAAAAACTATATATTTTTTTATTATTCTTACTTTAATTTTAACTAGCAATAAAATCCAATTAAACGGTTAATAGACAGAAATTATTGTTGATTATTGTGATAAAATTAAAACATTTAAAAATTGCCATTTTTTTATTATGATGATTTAAATAAAACAAAATGATGTACATTTGTTAAGAGCTTTAAAGGCAGGATTGATTTGAATAAACGAGAAAATTTAAGATAATACAAAAAATGATTTGATTTCAGGAGGAGGACGGCGCGTGCGTGTTGCAGTTGAACCGGTTGACTGGATTCGACCATCGGTGTCACGTGCGGTATTTAGTGGTTTTGGGCGAGGGCGAAAGGCGCATAGACTCGGGCCTTATCGACGACATCAGCGACGCAGAGGGCCGTGTTAGGGGTTGGTGTCCGGGGGTGACGGTGTCCGATGTGATGAGAAAAGGGACGGTCCGCCTGCACCTGGAGATGTTGTTGGCAAACAGCCTGAGTGACGTGTCCGTGTCAACACCACCTATCAGTGTTGGCACTGCCCAGGTGAAACTTTTTCAATATTAATTTTTGGCTTATTTTTATTTTTATTTAAGCTTTCATAAAGCAATTTTTGCCAGTTATTTGATACATGAGTTAAAATCTAGTAAAAGCGACCAACAAGTCTGTGGACGCAAATTAAGACCATTAAAAGTTTATTAGTGTGTAGTGAACTGCTCGTAAGTACTTATTTCAACGTGCAGGTGGTTGCGCAGACCGCCCCTGCGCAGTGCTTTGACAAGGACAAACAGCAGTGGCTAGTGACGTCAGACTTGCATGGGGACACCTTGCGCTTCCACATTGTCTTCAAGGACATCCACAATGTGCCTCGCAACCATCTCAGGTTTGTAGCTTTTTTAATTTTTGGTGAAGTCAAAGCTGCAGTCATTTTTTTTAATATACTGAATTTTACAAGTCCTTCAGGAATAATTTTTACGCCATTGGTTGGAAATTTAATAGTGAAAATCCGATCAAAGTTTTGCGAAAGTTCCACTCTTGAACACGGTGGTCCCAAAGGCATTATAGCTTTGTTCCAGTAATGCGGGTAAATTTGGAATTTTGATTGGCCTCGAGGGACGTGAGCGGCCGTCACACTGGAGTGCCCTTTGTTCCTCAAAATGCTTGGCAAACTTAAACAGAAACGAACAATACCTGCCTGACCTGCAGATATTGAGGGAAAGATAGGGGCAGCATTTGCATTGAACTGTGCAAGATATTGAGCCCTCGGGTACCAAAGAGAGATTTTTCTTTTCAACTTCCTTCTTTTATTGGAAATTCCTTTTGCAACCTTTGCAGCGACGGCTCGTTTCTGTAATAAAAAAGCGAGGAAAATAGGACAAGGGGAAAATAAAAAGCCACGGGAAAGGAATTTTTATCAATATGCACATTACGCTTGTAGTATCGGCGTAATTTAAAGGGACACTGTGCATTAGAAAAATTCCGAGCTTGCCGTTGATATGCTTGCAAATGAATGCCAATTTGTTGAGAACGTTTTTGCAGCAGAATTTATCTGACCCGCAGGTACGTGAGTTGGAGTTCGTACATTATGCGCTTCCCGCCAGACGACTCGTCGCCGCCTGAGCCTGTGGCTTTGGAAGGCTCGCCCTTCAGTCACTACTACGCCCAGGACACCAGCGATGAAGGCATCATGATGGAAACCGATGTGCCCGTCAAGGAGGTAAGTCTAATGACTTTTTAAACGTACCTTAAGCCGCGCTCTGGTTTCAGCCCTCTTACTTTTAAAGCTGCTCCCGGGATTAATTTTTAATGCATTTTTATTGCTGCTTTTCATGCAAATTAAGCAAGAACTTCAGAGCTCAAGATTTGGGCTTTTGTTCTAATACCTGAGGAGGATTTGAGGTGAAAGTTTTTAACGCTTCTTGAATTATTTAAAGAAAGTTATATAATTAGGAATGCATATTGAAAATATTCCAAGGTGGGTTTTATTTTGACAAAAAAAAATCAGATTTTTTTAATTACATTTTTTATTTCAAGAAATTGTAAATGTATTATCAGCATTTTAATTTAAAAATTGTTATCAAAATGTTACCAAATATTAAAACGTTAAAATTTATAACAAAGCCTTCATATAAATATGTATGAGTATATATCATCGTTAACCATTGTCATCTTGCGGGACGCGAAACACATGACCAAATAATACCATCGTTGTAGCCAACGTTGTCTTCTCCAGCTGAATGCGCTTTGTATGGGATTATTTTGAGTTGTGGAGCTGAGCTTTGTGTTTCGTAGCGTGCGGTATTGATCTTGGCGGCGACTCTGCTTGAAAGTATGTGAGCACACGAGAGTACATGCAGTCATTTCCATGCAGCAACAGGTCACATATATTCTGCCATTCGTACTTACAAAACAAGTTCATGTATGTACCTATATGCACTTCACCGTGCATCACAATAGGGTTGCAGCTCAAACATCGCCCTGCCTGCTGCTGCTTTCTCATTTAGTACATTCCAAGCACCAACCACTCCTATACGCTTCAACTTTTGAACAAAAGGGTGTGGAAAATGCGCCATCAACACAATAGTGACTTGATTGATCTTATTTTGCTCTTTTTGCATAAAAGAAAGAAGAAAATAAATTAATAATGTAGCATTTGATATACCTTTTAAAAATTCACAAAGGATAAAACTTGTTTTGTTCGCACGAAACGTTGAAAAAGACTCATTAAAAAGTTTTAAAACACATTTCAGCTGGGAAAAAGTTGCCACTGAACTTTTTTTTTATCTATCGAGCTCTTTTAAAAATGTTACAATGCACACAGTTTGAAGACAAAAAAAATAATTTTTTATTTCTTTTATCAAATTTTGCGCTGCCGGCGTCACTTTGCGGCGAAGTAAGGGAAAAATGCAATCTCGATTAAGAATGAGCGAGCGCGTCCCATAAAAATCGCAATACAGGAGCGGCCCCGGGGAAAATGAGTTGCGCCGAACGTTCTGTCTGTAAAAGCCCTTCATACAAATTTTCCATTCAACTGAACAAAGGGCTGCGTTGGCCTGCACACTCAGTGCAGACTTGGACAAAAAATCTGATAAAAAAGTTTACCCGTCCACGAACGCCCACGGGCAGATAGTTATGCATTCCGCGCGCCTCATAGGCCGTGCGGGACTGCATAGTTTGCCATCTGGCAGGCGCTCGGGGCCTGCGTGACTCGCTTCCATAACTCACTCAGCGGTGCATCCGAAGTCGCGCAAAACTCGCTTGAACAAACACTTTGAGCACCAGCAATTTCGTTTTCGAATCGGGCCGTAACCTGCCATCGCCGGAGCCGTTCAAGCGTGTTTTATTGCGGCCGTGTATTACGGTACAATCGTGCATGAACTTATATCAAGATGATTGCACCAGAATGCGGAAATTCTAAGCACGTAGAGGTAGAGTCATTTTCTGGTTTGATTTGTGGATTGAGTAAATTACTAGAATTAAAGATCAAACTCACTTAAAACTTGTTATGTACAACTAAAGTTCTATTTTGTTCAAAAATAAATTAAAATACTAACTTTAAATAATAATTAAGAGTTGGAAATTTGTACGAGGTATTGAAAAAAAATTCATAAAAATAAGTTTTTTCTGTGTAAAAGATGATTAAAATTTGCATATAACGATAATTTTCAATATCTTTTAATTCTCACTCAGATTTTGTTTGATGCTGATATGTTTCCATAAAATTATTGCCAGAAAATATAATTTGATATACTTTTTAAGAGATATTATAGCTTTTAATTTGTAAAATAAATTTCTTTTTAATACCTGGAAACAGATTAAATATTTGAGGGAAAATTTTAAACAGCCACTTTGGCTATTTTGTGAGCTCAAAGTCAATTCATTTCAAATGGCAGATCGTTAGCTCAAAATTCTCTTCATTGTTTTTGCAGAAATATTGTGCCTAGTGTATCGCAATTTGTCAGAGTGACCGTGAAAACGGCACCTGTCCAAAAGCACCATCAATCACCGTCGTATCAGCCTTTGCTCTCAACAACCCCGTGGGAAATCTGAAAAAGCGAATTTGTAAAAAGAAAGCACCGGCAAAACGCCTTCTGTTTTCATCGAATCGGATTGACTGGCGTGGTTCTCAGGAGCAAAAACTACCTGATCTCATCGTGGCGGCAAAAGAAATGGGCGGCGAGAAGATATCTGGCATTTGATTTATTTTCCAAGCGAGTTTGGACCGCCGGCTTTGCTAGGTCGATGTAGATAGAAAGGGAAGAAGTGCGAAACTGGTCCAGAGGGAGTCGTTGCTGCAACAGCCTCTTTATCTGGCTGCCTCCTACTCTCTCACACAAAGTCACTACCTGGCGGCAAAGATTTTAATCAGACTCGAGGGTGGCCCCGAAATTTGCGAGAGCTCCTCGTTCAAGAGGCCGCCGACGTGCTCTTCGACGAGAGCTGCTGACGCTCACCGCTTGCTGATCAAACGGTCTTGACAGGATAAAGTTATACGGAGTTTGATGGGAATTAACACAATTCAGCACCGCGTCTAGAGCTGGTTCGGAGCACGTCCTTCAAAAACTCCTTCCTTTTCTATGCAAATTAAAACTCAAACTTGATGTGATAGATTTTGTTATTAAAATCGAGTTATATAATTAATGATAAAAGGTTTGATCAATAATTCGGGAAATTATTTCCATCAGAAAAAGATTGATGGCTGTGAGAATTTGTATCATGAAGTAAAAAGTTTATTTTTTTAACACTGATATCCATGAATATTATTTCATCAATTGCGTTATAAAATCCATCATCATTTTTGACGCTGCATTATATCAAACGTTTTAATATTTCATGACAAACAAGAGTATGTACATGATAAACCCTCTCCATAGTAATTTTACAAACACCGACGTCCATTGTAATTTTTAATTAAATTTTCCTCCGTGCACGCAGGAAGGCAAATTTATTAACCACATTTAGCGCGTGCGGGTAAACATAATCTGCCTTCCTCTGGCTTAAAAAATTACCTTCCCATGCGATTTTCCGCATTAACTGTTTGTATAGCATAAAACGTAAAAACTGGCAAGCTATTTTGAAAATTCGGTGGTGTACGAAATTTTAATTATGGGGGCAAAAAGCAGTGCTTTCTCTTCCCTGCAACTTATTTCCCAGGCGCCGCGAGGTGATATCTTTATTTTTAGAGCAGCCTTATTTATAGCCGCCAGTGAGCATTGAGAAGCGGCTTTATTTTATCGCGGGCGCAGGTGCCTGGGGGCTAATTTGCGTGCAAGGGAGACAACGAGGCACACACGGTTGCTGGTTTTCGTAGTTTAATTATTCACTTTGAGAAAAAGTGGCGGCACGTCTGCAGTCTCATTACTCATTTACTGGCTTCTCTTTGCGGCGCACGCTCGTGATAAATTGTATTGGGCAGAAACTACTTTCGTGGAATTTTATCTGTTGGGAATATTGCTGCTGCGGCAAACTGTGTTATTGTTGTTTACTTCTTGTTCACCGAAAGAACTTTTTACACTCTGTGGGCGAAAGAACACGGAAGCCGCAAGCAGCGATCATTTGCCTCTCAATTTTCCTCTCTTGAAAATATTTTCTTATAAAAACGATGAACATAATAAAATAAATAATTTAATTATTCATTTAATTTGAAAATTCTTAAAAATGATAGAGAATAGAAAATCAAATATCTTTATTTTGTATTTTTAATTAGAATTTTTATGTGAAATAATTTATCTAAAACTTAACTTTTCCAACAATAGCCAGGGGTTTACCGTTATTTATCACTTCTAGACTATTAACAACTTTGACAATGTGTCCCGTCACTCAACCCATCGTTTATTTCCCAAGTTTGGATTAGTTTTGACAACCTCCTCATATTTTCCAGATGCGAGTTCCAGACTGCGAGTACTTCAGCGACAGGTCGCAGGTGCGTTTGCAAATCGAGTGGGAAGATTCGTACCTGCTCTTCCAGGCGACCTATCACAAGTACGATGACGTCACCCGAGTGCACAATTACCAGATGAGGTGGGTATAGGCACAAAATACTGCACGTATCGAGAGCCAAGTTTATTAATGATCAGCTTTATTGTGACCCGAGACACGCAATCTCAATTTCAGATAGGCATGACGTCTCATTTATAACTTGGCGCGCACGCAAATTCATAGAGCTAGCGACGGAACTATAATTTCATCGGTACACTGCGCTGCAAAAGTTTAATCTGCAATTTCCGATGGTTTTATTGCCGGTTTAAGCTTTCTAGTCTGACTGCAGAGATGGTTGATTATTATAAATATAGAGCTTGGAACTGAATCGATTTTCCGATGGAAAGTAACACCGGCCATAATTACACCAGCTTGATTTATGTAATATGCCTGGTATCATAAATCTAGTTTATTATTTGTTTAGTTTGAAAATAGTAGCAACAGTTTAAGCTGAATTCTATTCAGTCTAATCAAAACCAAAGGGAATACGTTTTATTTTTGCAGCAACGTTTTCCAAAAACTAATTATTATTACATACTTCCATATTCAGCTCTCCCAAAATTGCCTTTTTGCGAAAAATTTCCTCGTACATATTTGCAATTAACTCAGCTTGTCTTGAGGCGGAATGATGATCACGTTTCTAAGTCGCTCTTCGCAAAATTTCGCTCCTGAAAATTATCACATGCGTATAAATTATTTGGCCGGGAAAATGACAACGTTCTCTCTGCCACTCAAATCCACATCTCTCTGCGCTCCCCGTTTTGAATTATTGTTGTTTGAGATAGACGCGGAGTCAAAAAGACGCGCCCACACACAGCTCGCAGTTATAATAACACACCGCAGCTCGCGGAGCAATAATAATGAATCACGAGCGAGAGAGAAAGCGCGGAAGGGCTTTTGAGCCGCTCTGCCAGCCAAATTAATAGTCAGCGGCGAAACAAAGATGACTCCTCAAAGCCCTGTCATGGCGAATTCTGGATTTTGATGAAAATCGTGCGTGCTGGGCTTGATTATACTGTATTGAACACGAAAAATTATACATGAATATTTATAAAGCAACCATGATCAACTCTGAAACGATTCTTTAAGGGTCAGGCCGAGACAGTCTCGAAATGCTGTACGAATGTTTTAATTCTCGCAATTCCATCCATTCCATATTTTTTAATTTATCTAGATCGTCAGATTACAAATTGGGTATCAAAAAAACTATTGGAAAGAGTTAAAAGAAATGAAATAAAATTTAGTTTCTGGGTTGGTTTCACTACCTCTTCACATTTCAAGTTTCATGTATTTCTAATTTTAATTTTTTTGATGTAGGTAATAATTATGGATTTATCAGGATTTATTAATATTTATTAATTTAATTGTAAACTTTTAATTCCAGACGCGAGATCAACGCATTACAAGCAGAGAACTACAGCTTAGAGAGACAGCTTTTCAGCTACCAGAAAAGCATAGCGTACGCTCACTCGCGAGGTCAGTACTCGGCCGAAAACACCCCCGTCGGGGGCGGCACCCCTGATGTCGCCCCTTACCGGCACCACGGCGGGTCCTTCAGGCACAGCAGCGCAGGCGCCGCGCCCAAGCACGGACACCACTACCACCCCAATCACCATCCTGCAGCCAGCAGGTGAGACTCTTGGCTAATCTTTTATGCAGATGCGCGCGTTATTTGCAAAATAAAACGAGGCCTTTATTCCTCTCATTCACTCTATTCACTTGCAAATTTTCGCTTGTTCCATCCTTTCAAAAGGCAACGAGAGCGAAATCACAAATGATGAGAACTTTTTTAATCCCTCGCATTGTGTTCCGATTTTCACATTTCCTCGGCTCGACTGTTTTGTTGATGATTTTTTTTTTTATTGTTAAATTTCAACCGTTGACATGCCTCATTGGAATTTCTGTCGAACACGGCTTTCTTCCAATTATGGAAATTCGATAATCGCGCTGATGCGAAAATTCGCCTCAGCCGCTCAGTGTGACGTAAAACCTCATAATCACATTCCTGCTCTGAGAGTTGAGTAATAAATCGACGGCACGTCTTTTTCCGCCCGAAAAATGCTCAACCGACGAGTTCTCTTTTTGGTTGCTGCCAGGGAAAGGCTTCTGATAAAACGCTGGTTGAAACACGGCCCTGCTTTAAGCCGAGAGTTTTTGTGCGAGGTTTTCTCATTTGCGAGAGAGAGCCCCGCTCTTGACTGCAAGTCGCAATCGATTGGGTCAGGGCAGCATTAGGGCTGCTGGAATAAATTCCACCAAAGCCCGAGATAAAATTCATTTCTGCCGTGATCTCGCTCACTGGCCAAATTATCCCCTCCACGGACCGAGAGGAGCAATCAAGAGCAATGCCAACTCGGGAGGATTCTTTGCTGATTGAGGAATACACTGTGCTGATAGGGATTGGAGACGGGCACGGGCGCCAGAAATAAAGGAAATCAGAACCGCTATACTGACGTCGGGTTTTATGATTGCATTGCACGGCCGCTTAACGACTTAGCTGATTCACTACCGTGTTAACATTGAACCTGTTGAGGGTTAGATGAAAAATTTGTTTAATGTAAATATATAAAAAAAATTATTTTCATCTGACCATTACGATCATTATTTCACAAATAATTTGTTCCAGTTTTTTTAACTATCTTCAAACTGTGAAAAAAAATCATTGATCTTAACTTTAACTACCTCTAATTTTTTTAAATAACTTTTTATCATCAGAAGAAAATTAAAAAGCTGATTTTTTTATTGGAACACTTAAAATTATAATTTTACTTTTTGATTAATTAAACGTCTTATCAATTTAGCCTTGTCATACAATAGGGACTTGCCAACGCGCTCTTTGTAATTTTATTTTCTGTAATTTTCTAACGTGAATGCGTGTTTCAGACACCGGGCGAGCACCGGCGGCCTGGAAGTGGAGCCGACGGGTCAGTCAAGCCAGCTGGCGGCCAAGAGCCCCAACACATCTCCGAGACACCATCACAGAAGCAAAAGTCCTCATTTAAGACCTGGTGAGTGCACAGAGGTGGATTTGATGGATGGGGATGGATCCGCTGCAGGGTTGCTCAGACGTAAAATTAAAGTTGGCACTTGAGTGAGGCCTCGGGCGGCGCGGCCCACCTAGTTCGCGGGGACAAGTTATTTCTGCTGGCAAAAAAGTGCGCGTGGGCTTAAAAATCTAATAATGTTCCATCTTCACAATTCATCTTTGTGACAGGCTGAGTAAATTTTTCTCTGTGTCAGAGTAAAGCAGCTTCCGAAAAGGAAAAAGAAAAATCTTTTAAGAGCACGCAGAAACATCAATTTTCGTTAGCCCTTCCATACATATTTATCAAGCCAAACCGAATCAGCTGAAAGTAAGTTGACTTTTGTCTTCTATAGATTCATACGGTATTTAAAAGACACTCACAGATAAGTAAAAGAAAATACCAATATAAATAAGAATTTTAAATGTTTAGATTAAAAACCATTTTTGACGTATAAAATTAAATTTTGAAGATCCATCCTTGTCGTAAATATTTTGATGCCAAAATTAGCCCGCACAATGCCGGTGAGTGGCTCTTGAGTCTCGATTGATCGCCAATGGAAACGAGAGAGGACTCTTCATTTAAGCAGCCGCCTACCCTCTTGCCACTACTGTATAATTCATAGCCCACGCAACACGCCGCTGTTTACTCAGCGCCCGGCGGTTTTTTCTTATTGTACATTCTGGTAATACACGATAAAGAAAAAACACCCGAGTGCATCTCGGGGAGTTGCAACGGCGGCATTTGAGCTTTCGCGACCTTTTCGCCCAAAAGTCACGTGAGGGGTCTTAAAGTGCGATGTGCTGGGCCCATCATTAAAGCGGCAGTCGAGTGGGAAAAAGTCACCCCGGCTCGATGAACGCGGCCTCAACCACCTCCATCAGTCACTGCCCGCAGTCACGTCAGATGCTATCAGTCGCTATGGGCACACACCTGAAATTCATTAGGGGTGTGTGCGTATTAGGGGTGGGTATAAGGGTGAAAAAGCGAACTAACACATTGGTGAGGGAGGCCGCTGCCCCATTTCGCACCGAATAACTCTTGGTTTCGAGGCAGAGAGGCTGAAATATTAACCAAAACGGACCAGACGCTCGCTCCTAGGCTCACTTGCTTATCCGACATAATCCGCTAGATAATACTTGTTAATGGATAGCCCGAAGCAGTCGCCAGCTGCTCCAAATGATAAATTTTCAACGACCTGCGCGAGAGCTATATTTTGCTCTGATTCCGTGCATTTGCAATTTTTTTGCGCCGACCCTCGTGGAATATAGAGGTAATCTGGAATGTTTTTCCCTCTTTTTGCCTCCGGTTTTCGCCCTCTCTATGCTAAACCCATTCGAATCAATAAAAGCCTCTTCTGCAAATTCCAGCAGAGTGACGTTCTAGTCTCTCTTGAATCGCAAAAAAAGCACATCGCGCCTTCTGTGTAATAACGGACACTTTGCTGGCGTGACGTGCGCTTTGAATAATGCACATTTCCCAGAGGCATCGAGCAAGGTGCATTTTAAAACAGCGTTGTGTCGCCGACGGCGCAGCAAGCGATTGGAATCTATTTCCAATATTGTAAAGGCAGGGAGAGATATATTACAGCCGTCTGCAGGGCGCTCATCAAACATCTTGTAGATTTGCATTCGCAATAAAAAGGCAAAGCTCTCGAAAGCTTTATGACATGATAATATTTGCCAATGAGCGAAGTGTGGATTCAATAAGTTCATTCCATTTTTTGCATTTTTATAAATAAATAATGTACAAATAGAGACATAAATAGTTATTATGATTATTTATTCTTCTTTTTTTTTAATAAAAATATATGATGTAGATAAATATTTTTGGATGCAAAAAGTTTAATTGTGATTTTTTTAGATTTCTTTTACAACTCATTAATGTTTTATTCGTGTTTAATATTCAGTTTGATTATTTGGATGTAGCTGCTGTATGTAGCAGTTTGATGGCCTCTCCAAACTGCTAAAGTTTGAAAGTAGGCAACCTGTTCCACACATATGTCAAGAGGTTGCTTAAACAAGGCGCTCTCACTTGCGCTTCACTTATGGTTAAATAGTAAGGCATTATTTCTTAAAAAGAAGTTTCATTTTTTAAACTGTTGGCAAATTATTGGCCAAAGTAAACATGAATCTTTATATTTTAAATCCTTGATTTATATATGCATAAAAGAAGAAGGCAACTAGATTTTTTCATATCTGTCCAAAAGTAGTACATTCAAAAAATTATTCTACAGAAAAAATAATGAGTTCTTTTAAAAAAAGTAATGCATACAGCATTTAATTGAAATAACCCTTTTGAAAGTATGTTTCATAAATAATATAAATTTTCCTTTGCAACATTCAATTTTTTAATATTGTAATTCCGCCCTCAGCAAGTCTCGGCAGCTTCTTAATATATCCGTTCTCGATTCCAGGTCACTTCGGTGGGGATCATCCCTCTGGGGACGAGGGAGAAGGGGCCGGAGCTGAGCTGGAAGTAGGTTACTGCGAAGAAGACGGTTACTACGAAGAGGAGCAGGACGACGAGGAACGCCGGTCCTACTCGCTCGGCGAACGCTCCCTGTCCACGGACACCGAGTACGCCTGAGAAACGCTCTGTCCCCGCCCGATCAGACCCCCACACTCTTCGCACCCCCCTCCGCGGAGGCGCCAGTCGGACATCGCGCGTGTCGACAACACCGACATCTTCAACTCGCCCGTCGAGGAGATGCGTCCGAAGACGCACAGCTTCTCAGGGTTCGGCAACGCCCCGTCCAGTCACACCTGGCAGCACTTGAATGGCGGCTACCGGCCCCCGGCGCCGCCCCCGACCGTCAACGAGGTCTCCTTGTACAGCCGGCAACAGGCTGAGAAGCAGCTGCAGCGGCAGCGGCGCCAGTCCAAGCCCTACCAAATCACGCACATCAGCAGCACCATCCGCAACCTGACGCACAAGGGACCTGCCAAGTCGGTGGACGCGTACATCTTTACGCAAGTGCCCAGCAGTCTGGCCTCCTCCGAAGAACCGGACAAGCTGTCCGAGCTGCATCCGCCGCAGCCGCCCAGGGACACCATCATCGAAATGGGCAACGGCTACGCGGGCTACCACACCAAGAAGAAGAGGATCGTCGCCACGCCCGCCTCCTCGAGTCTCTCCTTTTTCAGGGAGATCCTCTTCCGGATCGCCGAGTTCATATGCTCGCTGCGCGGAAACAGCCACTACTAACCGAATTGGCAATAAGTACCACCCTCTTGCACAAAGTAGGCACCTATCTTGGCATGCGAGTTTTGCTCTTGACTCTCTTTCGACAATTCACTCCTTACTTCCTCTCGATTGGACCTGCAGGAGGCTTTTTACGGTCTCTATAGATTTTCTTTGCACCATACTCATTTAAAAAATATTCACTCAAAATAATCTTTTCATATCACCATCAATGTATGTTCATCAGCCTAAAACCATTGCAGTTTTCCATTTGCGCAAAGGAAGAATCCAAACATTTCATTTTTCAGGCGCCCAAATTTTATCCTAAGATTTGAAATGTCTGATTTCTGCCTGCTTATGAACCGATAGCAAAAATCGGGGAAAATCCAATGGAAATCTGCGTGAATTTAATTATCAAAACCAACTGATAGCCACAACATTTAGATGAAATAAGAGGTGTCCATTTCAAATAATAAAGGTTATGAACATACTTTGCAACCCTTTGTAAGAATGGCATGATATTATGCAGATTATGCATAATTTTAAGAATTCCCTAATATGGATATTTAAATTAAGCGTGAGGAAAAAATAATACTGATTTTAGCAGTAGATAATTATATATATTCTAATGCGTTATTATAATGTAACAGAAACTCCATTCTTACAATGAACCACTACCAAAACATTATTAATAATTATTAAGACTAAGGAGGAGTCTCAATATGTAGCTTTTGAATCAAAACTTAAAATAAATAAACTTTTGTTTGCAAAAAAATAATAATAAAAATAATTTTAACATCAAAAGAGAGCAAAAGTATTCAGCCGAGAAGCGCAAAGGTGCATACTCTTGGAGTGCTACTGAAATAAAATCGCTGATAATATCAATTGGGATTCTTCGAAAATTTATCAAACTATAAATTTCTATGCGAAGGGATTAAAAAAATTGGGTCTATCGAAATATATCATGTTTTGTAGTGAATCAAAACAGAAGCAGTAACAATCAAAAAAGGGCGTGGGACGGGGAAAAGAGAATTATAAAATAAAAGAGCTGGGCTATTAAATGTTGAGCCATTCAATCGATAAAAAAAAAAAATGAGTATATTTTCACTCGACTGTTCTTTCATATTATAAGCTGGTCTTCAAAGCAGCGCTTTTTGACAGCCGTGTGTTAGCATGGAATTTTGTTGCCGATGATTGAAAGTAAAAATAATTGAGCGTGAATTTGAAGACGCGGCGGCGGCCAATTTTCGACCAGATTGGTTGCTTATCAGATATTTTTGTCTTGGGACCAAAGTACGACCATGATTGTCTAGCATTTCTGAAGGGTACGTGTCGGTTACTTATTTCCTGCTCTCAATGTTCCGTCCTTCATCTCATTCAGGCATAAAAAATATTATTCCATAATTATGCACAAATTAACACTCACACAATCTTTTCTGCAGCTTTCGCTTTTCTCATTATATCGTTCGAAAGTGCTTGTCCAAAGCGCGCAGCAATATTTGAGATGAAAAAAAAATCACACACGTATATTCGTACATAAACAGTAGTGTAATCAGCAATACAAGTTTTAATTGTCGCATGTGCGTGGGATATTTATTGTTAACGGATGATAATTTTATCACTGCATGCACAAAGGATTTCTGTAGAAGGGTAATTACTTTATGCGTATACTTATTAATTAAATTATATTTCTCGGTCAATTCATAAAAAATATTGATTCTCATTAATAATTGCATGCCTATACATTGAATGTGTCCAATATCATACGCTGCACGCTCTCGCAAATTTCCTATCTCACACAAAAAGGCATTTTTGCGCGATTCTTTTCTAATAGCTCGTAAGAAAACAAGTTTTTGAATTTTACAATTCACATTTCGATTACTCACTTGAATCAAAATAGTTTTAAAATATAACACAACTTTTTAAGAACAAAATGAAAATCGAAACTCAAGTGACGACCAATTTTGAAGGTTTCTCTACTTAATATTAATTTTCAACTACCACATCTCAAATAAGTCCCAGTATTATCACGAGAATCGTGTGAATTTTGTAACTTAATGAACAAAAAGAGCGTCGTTTTTTATTAACCTTGAACTCCATTGTTTATTTCATAATAAATATATGCAAATCAATCAGAGCTTTTTAGAAATTTAAGTGAGCATCATATCTTTATGTCAATGTGGAATGTTTTTAATCTCAAAAGACGGTGAGCACAATTTATTAAATGCCTAAGTTTTTAGATTATAGCAACGTTTTTTCTGATAATTCATTTTAGAACAGATATCAATATTTAAAATTATTCCATTTTGTATGTCATAAAAAAATGTACACTACTGTTTCCATGCTCATTTCCCTACTTACGTCGATTTCTTCCATCAGCAAGTAATAAAGATGATAATTATTATTGTTATACAGCTTTATTATCAAAGCTTATAATAAAAGATAAAGTTTGAAATTGAAAATATTATATAATATCACGCGGCATGAATGAAAATGAGAAATATATCAATGTTGTTGAAAAACTAAGAGCACTGTAATTGACGATATATATTGACAAAAAATGATGGTTTTATGAAATTGCAGCACTAAAATTGATCGATGTGTTCCATAAAAAAGAAAGAGATCACCCAGGGTGTATCATCATAAAATAAAAAAAATGTTAAAAAGATATTTAACACAAAGTTTCAAAAATTATTGGATGTGTCTTATATTATGTGATGTAACTTTGATTTTAGTTGACATATGGAAGCAAAAATAAATTGTAGTTATTTTTAATGTTACAATGTTACAGCCTTTAAATTGCACTTTTTACTAAATGAAGATTTTTCATATGTTATATACGTTAAATAATTGATACTAATTTTGAAGGAAAAAATCAACTACATTTTTGGTTCATTTTCCTTATTTAGAAATTACAGTATTAAAAATTTATACCCATAATAAACGATGTGCAATGTGTAAAAAAAAATAACTAAATGTAAAATGTTAAAGCTTAAAGACGAAAAAATATTGTTACTGGCTTGTAGCGCTATAGCTGTGTTTTAATGAGCCCTGGGTCTCCGTCTCTAGAGTGCAAATATCTAACTTGGTCCAATTAACAAAGTATCAAGCCCTGTCCGCCCAAAAGTGTGTCACTCGTCAAGGGCTCAAGGGAATCAGCCGCCCATGGTTCGGTTGTGGACAGGGGTCGCAGCTTTGACACATCACGGTTTCTCACTTACAGCACAAATCACTGATAATTTTGACTGTACGGCCTATTTGCTGTGTCTACTTTTTACCTATGTAGACCAACTCTCATTTCCCTGAATAACCTACAACATTATACGTGGATGTGCTATCTCTTTGATAAAGCTGAATAAAACTATCTTTCCAGAAACAAACTCTCTTATTTCAAAACCTCGAGGTTGATCAAGATTCTACAGATTCTATATATATTTTATAATGATGAAAATAAAGTTGAGGCTTGTTTTTAACTGATTGTGAGACAATTTAAAATTTACTCTTACATTCGTACAACTTTATTTTAAACACAACCTCTCTAATATCACACTCACCTAAAACATTTAAATTTATTGTGCGGATGTGGATATTCTCAGCCCATGCATCTCCTTAATTTCTTCTTTGAGCGCCTGCAAATAAAAAATCTATATTGGTCTGCATTTGGCTATTTTCTTAGATACGTACCTCATTGACAAGTCTGTGTTGTTTCACAATGGACAGTCCCTTGAACTCGGGAGCTTTGACTAAGATTTCGTACATCGCACCGCACCCACCTAAAAAAGATCACAAATTGAGTTATCAAGCAGATGAAAAAAGCTCATTATGTAACCTGAGATGTCTGCAACTTGAATGGTGTGTGCTTTTGGAAACGCCGACTGTAGCAAGTTATGCAGTCTTTTCTCAGCCTCAACGCCTCCGGCGGTGGCTTGTGGTCCATGCCAAAGCTGAGAGAGGATCTGGAAGCATAAAATATAAATAGTAGCGTAAATTTGTGTTTATAAATTAATTATTTCATCACACCAAACAAGCATGTTGCACCTATTCCCACCAATGCATACATTTTGATTTATTTCAGGCGTAGAAATTGATGTTTCGCAATTGAACATGGCGAATAAAACTTACCGATATAGATCTATTTTGAAGTTTGCTTTGAATAAACCTCCTAATCATGGTAAATCTTTGATTATGTTCTTTACTTTGGCACGATTTAGAAAAGCCGAAAAATCTTATTTTCTTCACCCATCAATAACAAAGTTTGAAATTCCCGCTACAAAAATAAAGATTTAAGTTTCATACCAACTTTGCACGGTTCAATCCCAGCGACGAATCGCAATGTTTTGCTATAAAAATTAAGTAATTGGATTTTTTACGACAATTTTTGTTTCTTTTTACCATTTCATACAATATAAAAGTGTACAAAATACTCTATTAGCATTAAAAATAGAGAATTAGTAAAAAATCTTATCTTCATCCATGTTGGTAGCAATGTGCGTCTCGTTAGTTGTCGGAGCTAGAGTTCCGCAAATGTTTTTGAAAATCGATATATATCGATATAAAAATCGTGGCCTAATATCGATATATATCGGATATTTCGGCGGTTTTTCGGTATCGATATCAAATATCGCCAAAAATATCGTGATTTTTAAAAAGTGCTTAAAAACACCCTTTTCTTGGTTTACGGTGGTTTCTGGGGGTAGGTATATTTTTAAAAAAAATGCCAGAAATGTGTCTAGAAATGATCCAAATGATCTGTCAGAGATATTTAGATCAATTTAGATGGTAGCCAATTTATTTATTTATATTATTATTATTTTTTTAATTGCCTGAAGCTTGCAGTATGGACTTGGGTTTAAGGGGTGAGGGAAAAAGTTGCAAAAAAAAAAAAATTAGAAATAATTTAAATAGTCTGTCTGAGATTTGTAGATGGATGCCAAAAAATATTTATCACTGTTCAAATTCTGATATTTAAGGTACCACGGACTAATACTACCTGATGTGTGAAGAAGTGCTGACGATATCGCATATCTATCAGTCGAAATTACTTTAAATATCGAAGTGTTAATTATTATTATTATTATTATTATTATTATTAAATTATTATTATTAATTATAATTATATTATTATTGATATTATTATTGATATTATTATTATTAATATAATTAATATATAAATATTATTAGTATTAGTATTATTATTAGTATTTATGGTGGCTGGCAAGGGGCATTTAAGGCGGAAATGGATTATTAAATAATAAATATTAATTTTGTATTTATTTATACTTCGATAATTTTTTTAAAATTGATTTAATGTAATTAAAAAATTTTTTTATTTAATTTTTTTTTCAAAAAATCTAATAATGTACTAAAAAGAATTTAAAATTGGGTTGTCTATATATATTTCAAAGTTATAAAGTTGTTTCAACTGACAATATATTGTCAATAAAGCCGTTCTAATTTAAAATGGGTAAAATCAAATTTTCAATAATTCCTTAATTTTAAATATAAATAAATTAACGTTGCTTGCTTGATCAAAAAGCCTTCTGTTCAGTCATAAAGCCTTTTCGCCAAGAAACCTCTCAACTTGGATTCAAGCCTTCTTATCCAAGAGCTTTAAAACAAGCCACTTTTTTAAGTGCTATATATATGCTAAAAAATTTCTGATAATTTGCAGCGTTCAGTGGGTTAGCATTAGCAAACTTAAGACGGTTAAAAAAGTTGCAGTTGCATAACACTTAGTGAAAATAATTTTTTTTTAGTTAGACCCTAGTCAAATAATTGGGCATGCATTGAAAATATAAACTTTTTATTTTCTTCCTTATGCTACGTACGATGAAATTGGACGAAGTAAATTAAATGATTGTATGATAAATTTAAGTTAAAATGATTATTTTGAAATTTGATGAATTTAAAAAATATAATTAAAAATAGAATATTTTGTTTCTTATAAAAAAACTATATTGTCAGTAAAAGTAAAATCCAACAGAGAAATTTTTCTGTAACTCTGAATAATGCCTCCTAAGTCTATTTCGCTTTCGCTTTAACGAGGTTTTATTGTTTCAAATTATATATTTAATTTTAGGTTGATTAAAAAAAATAACAAATGAAAAACTGATGCGGCCTTTTAGGATTGAAGTTGAAACTTGAAATCCTATTTTTTTTTACATAAAATACACGTCCCTAATCAATTATCGCTTTATTATATTTTAAGAGTTAATTCTTGCTGCGCGGCCCGAGAGTTATTGCCTTATTGGTAGTCCTTAAAGTAATTGGCCTTTTGTGCATGGCCGTTGGATAAAAAAGCCTAGAGTGGAGCGGGAATTTTTATGAGAAGTCTTTTTGACTGGGCATATTAAAACAAATTACCCCAATTTTCAAACTTTTATTGGCTTTTATTTTCCATTTTATATTTTTTATTTATATCCTTCAAACATATATTCTAAATTGTAAATTTATTCAGATTTTAATAAAAAAAATTCCCAATTGTTTAATATTATGAATGAAAAAAAAATTATTATCATATCATTGAAATCAAATTATTGATAGCTCCAATGTCTGTACTATATTTTTATTTATTATAATCATACATGGGCAGAGCGCGATCGCACGATTTTCAAAATCGTGAGCGCGAGCGCATTGGTCGATCGCTGAGCACAGCGCTCAATCTTGCTCATTTTGCGCTCAAACCAAAAGCAAAAATTCCCGAATTTGATCAAAAATTGTTACGGAAAACAGTGTTGTTATACCGAAAACTTCAAAACTGATCCCAATTTTGGTAATTTAACTTCAACTTTATCATTTCCAATTGCCTATGGATTTTTTTATATTAAAAAATTCAAAAATTGTCTAAAAAGTCGCACTTTTTCCTTGGGTTATAATATTTTTGAGCGCAAAGCGTGAGCGCAAGACTTTTCAAAAATTTGAGCGCGAGCGCACTGTTGCCAGTGATTGCGAGCGCGAGCACAAAATTGTTGAGCGTACCTATGTATGTTATTAATTAAGATTAAAAAATATTTTTTTATCGGAAATGAATACTCAATTCAATAGTATGCTGCCTCATTTTGAACTCCGCATAATATAATTATATAGAACAATTATTGATGAAGCATTTGGAAATTGAAATTTTAAATTATTTAAATTTTTATAATAAAAATTCAATGAAATTAATCAAAAAAGAAATAAATTAGTCAAATAATATTAATTTTATTCTTACATCAGGGTAGTAGAAAGTCTCGAGAGACAAAATTAGCGAGTTAAGTGCTTTTTTTTAATGATGATAAAATTTGCTTAATTTTTGAAGTTAATCAAATTTAGATTTAAAATTTTGGATTTTTAAAGAAATTTTTAAAATATTGATTTTTCACAATTTATGTATATTTTCCTCTCAATTTATTTTTTCATTCAATAATTTTTGGAATATTTAGATCATGAAATAGATTAATTTCGTTTATAGCCAGTTTCCCTTGAAGTACAATAATAAACATAATTGGCAATTAAATGTTCCATTGCCAGCCCACAATCCAATGTTTGTACTAAACATTTTTTCAAATTCATTTTAAGGTTTTCTGGATGAGGTATTATGGACTTTAAATTTTGAGGCAACGTATTAAAGAAGTGATTTATTAATTTTCTTTAATAAGGCTCACTACGGCGGATGGGGGGTGGGGAATATTTTTATATCTATGACGTTTTAGCAAAATTATTGTTAGTAGCGGGACTGTTTTTCTCAAACAAAATTTTTACGAACGGCCGCCTTTTGACCAATGCGCGCTTAGACAGGAGACCTCTTGTTCACAGAAGGCTTTTTGTCAACAAGGTATAATTCAAATTTAAGAGGAATTGAAAATTGAATAATATAAACTGAATTGTGCCACTTAAATTGATTGAAAATTTTACTAAAATGCTAATGCTGTATTGGTAGAATTTATATTATCAGTAATTTGAATAACTTTTTAGCATGCAGCCGAACTTAACTTAATTATTTTTTACACAGAATATTTAATAAAAAATTAATTTCAAATTGTTTTGGATTCATTTAAATAAAAATTAATTGAAGCAATAAATAAATATTGTTAATTTAATCCATTTCAGCCACCTTATTGGTAGTATTAAATTATAAATATATAATATTCGTCTCCAACGATTCAAAATTTAAACGATGCATTATGCGACTCTACTTACAACGGGTGTAGTAAAATACTGGGTAGTTGGTAAGTGTTAAGTAAGAAGTGTAGTAGTAGTAGTAGTAAAAGTATCAGTAGACCGATCCAAACACTCTGCAGTCGAAGATGTATAAAATTATATATAAATATAATTTTATATTTAGTTGCAAAAGGTGTTTATTGATGTCTCAGTAGGGTAATTTAGGGTAATAGTAGGGTATTTATATAGTTCGGACTTGGCCTAAAGGGTGGGTCAGCTGGGTTCAAGGGGGTGTAGGTTAAAATTGGAATGGAAAGGTAGCTAGAATTGATCCAAATGGTCTTCCGTGATTAAGAAATCGCTAAAAAAAATTTTTTTTTGGTTCCTGACATGGGAAATTTTTTTTATGAACGATATGGAAATTTTTTTTTAAAAATCGGTTTTTTAAAAAATATCGGCCAAAATATCGGTTTGGCCGAAAAATATCGATATATATCGTGTTTTTTGGTATCGATATTGGATATCGATATTTTTTGCGGAAGTCTAGTCGGAGCAATGGCGGCAGATAAGTCGCTGGTTTTGAACTCGTCCGCCGAAAAAGTGTCGAAAAAATCGTACTCGAAGCTGGTGGACGTGGTCATCATCGCCTTTTCAATCTGCACCCTGCTGGTTGACCTGGCCACAGGTAAAATCCGACCCCTTCCACCCCGAAATAGAAAAAACACCGACTCGTCCCTTTGAAGGTCGTTGGACAAAAAAACGTTGACTATGCTCGCACACGCCAGGGTCGATGTTGCCCTCGACAGGTGCTGGGACACCTTTCCAACCGTCCCAAATGCCGAGGCTTAGGCGTGCAGGACGGCTAGCGAGACCTCGAGGGCAGTTTTCATTCATGTTTCACCCGTCAAAAGCTGTTGCCGAGGGTGTTTGTTTTTGTCGTCTCCCCCCACCACCTGTGGATTGTTTGTTACCTGAAAATGAGATGAAGAGAGAGAGAGTGAGTCAGACGTAGGGCGCACCTGAACTCAAAGGAGCCGCCTGAACCTGAGCTGTGTAGCAAACGCTCAGCCAGACGCTGCCTTCTTCTATAACCATCTTATCTCCATTTAAAAATCTAAATTTAATTTAATAACAGCTGAATACTATTTTCATATTCAATGGATTAGTTGTGTTGTAAGTAATTAAAATACATAAGTGCTACAGTTATTAATTACATAATAATATTTAGTTTCACTGGGCTTTTATTTGAGGAAGTAAGTAAATCGGATAAAATAAATTTAGAAAAGTTTAAGAAATTCACTGGCTAACAAAAAATAAATAATTTTATTTAAATAACTGTGAAATTAAGTTATTTTTTTTTATTCGTTAAAAATATTGCAAATGAACTGTTGTTTAATTTCCTGTCAATTTTTTCCAGACATATTTCTGGTTGTGGAATACTTCAGCAAAGATTATTACGCTTGGGGATGGCTTACTTTGGCCTTGGTCGTGCTTCCCTTATTCATTGTTGAGGGCTTCAGCATCAGGTGGCACTCTCAAGACGGCAACGCCACTTTCATCACCTACCTTGCTCACGTTTTCTTCTTGGGAATTGCTCACAGGTAAAAGAAAAATTATTATAAATCTCTGACTTGTTAAAACTATTTATAAATTAATTGCTTGAAGTTTATATTATTTTGACAAAAATAAATCTTTTCTCTCCAGATATGTAGAGGCGATCCAAACAGCCGCAGTCGGCACTCCGCAGACACTTCTCAACCATCAACGAGACCTTTGTCTTTTACATTTATTCAACAGTTTTCTGGAAGCTGCGCCTCAACTTGTCTTGCAACTCTATGTGACAGCTTCGTTGGGAAGTTTACTGCCCTGGACAGGTTAGTAAATTATTTAAAAATGTACTTTTAAGCAGTATTGAGTTTTTTGATATTGCAGGAATAAGTTTAGTGGCGTCGCTTTGCTCCCTCGCCTGGGCCATTGCAAGCTACACAAGAGCCATGCGCCTCAGCAGGCCAGACAAAAAGCCAGCCTCTGGTGCTGCTTTGGCCTTCCAGGCGTTGTGGAGGGCAGGTACTCTGACTGCAAGAATTATCAGCCTGACAGTCTTTGCTCTTGTCAGCCCAACTTGGATGTTGATTTGTTTTGGTAAATTTGGAATGTTTTTTGAAAATAAGCTGACATAAAATTTTTTAATTCATTTCTTTCAACTTCACTAAAATTAAATGAAAGCTCTGCAATGGATCTCAATTTTTTGAAGATCATTATTTGATAAAAGAAAGAAAGAAATAAATTATTGGTGGCGCATTGTGGATTAAAATGAAAATACAAAAATAAATACAATTTCATCCTTTTTTTGCATTTTCTTAAAGGATTAAAACATAAATTCTGTGTTTTAGGTCTTCATTGGCTGGCAATGACTGCTTGGGCCATAGGTCAACGCACTGATTTCTGTGACACTTGGTGGGAGGAAAGGGCATACAATGTTGTTGTTGGCGTCATCTACTGCTTTTGCTTTTTCAACCTGCAAGAGGGTCCGTCACGAGTCAGAGCCATCATCTTTTACACCGTCACCACAATTGAAAACATAATTTGCGTCGCCCTCTTTGCTTTTTTCGGACAGCAGTCCGCTCTGCAACTGTCGCCAACTCACGAAGGTGCTGTGAAGCTACTCGTCCTCATCGTCTCTCTTTCCACTTTGATAGGTTTGTGGAGTGAAACTTTCTTATTGGAAAATCCATTTCATTTTAAATATTTTGCAGGATTATCAAGTATGCTTTTGTACTATGCATTTTTCCACCCCGCCGGAGTCATTTTTCCTTGCATGCCCAAAGACGACTGCGAGGGAAGACAAAATTTGTCTTTAGATTTGGGCAGAAACACACTCAGATCACTCAGGCATGAGCCTACAACAACGCCGATGTCGTCACCTGAAAGGTATAAGTTTATTTTCAAATGAATGAATTTACACTTCTTAAATTCAATTCCAGGCCTCCGTCCTCTGTTGCCTCAGTGACCTTGAGCTCTATAGAGAACAGTCCCACCATAAGCATAAAACCACCAGTGGAAAATGCATCAACTTCAGTAAGATCAAAATACCATTAAAAATTTGGTTCCTAAAAGCAAACATATTTCTTCTAGTTGAATTCAAGTCCAGAATCCCATTTAAGTGAGTCGCAGTTGAAAAGAAGACCCATCTGCGACATCAGCCTGTCCGAGCTAGACGCTCCTTCGCCACCTCCGTCACCCATTCCAAAAATCGAGTCTCCGCCGCCGCCGCCACCACCTCCTGCGATACACTCGCGCACCATGTCCGAGGACAAAGATGAAGTGTCCAGCACCTGTCCCTCGGCGCATGACTACGAAAACATGTGCGCCGTGGGAATCACTAGAGAACTGTGGGGCCTCCGACACTGGGACGGTTACTCTTCAGACATTGCCGAGCACGATTCAAGTGTGGCCCGCGGAAGACGAGACCCGAGGAGAGATACTTTGGTCTCGTCGTCCACATACTCGTCTTTGTCTTCGAATTATTCAGACAGCGAGTCTGAAACCTACACCTATGTCCGAGCCATGGGTCTTCCTTTGGCCCCGATTGCAGAAGAGAGTCTGGAAGAATCGTCCAGTGACAGTCTGCCAGGGCCCCACGCATCTTGCAGTTCGCTTGTGGCCACCATCGAAGAAATCAGACTGAGTTCGCAGGAACTGTATGAAGGTGTGATCTTGGAAGAGTCTCTGGACGGCGACCTGGGCGACTGGGCTTGGCAGCCTCTGTCCCAAACCGAAATAGACTTTCTGGCTCAGCTGAAGCCAGTCGAGGCGGACGGAAACGAACTGCCGCCCAAACCACCAAACCGGCTGAGGAGGAAGTTCAGTCTGCTGAGGGATCGATTTGAGTTGCCTGCAGTGGAAGAGAGCAAAAAGGAGGTTGATGAAATTGTTCCTGTTGGTGAGAAAGAGGTGGCCAAGAGGGTTACTCAGTGGGACAGACTGTCCAGAAGTGAAAAGGGCGGTCCACCAGTGACTCTTGTGCCTGTGGCAAGTTGATTTCTGCGGTCAACGCAAGAAACAAGTGCCTTTTAAATTTTAATTAGAAACAATTTTGAATTACCTTCAAAAACTATCAAGCCAGCTTAAACGTTGCAAGAGAAGCTGGAGTAGCCTCTGTGGGTTTTTTACAAACCAGCTGCCTTTGTCTGTGAATCTCTTTTAATGATCTGTCGCTCTGTGTAAAAAGTTTTATGAGTTTTTACAATTTTGTACAGAGAGTCTAACAAAGTAATTGAAAATGCCATAATAATATATTAATTAATACAATAAAAAGCTAAGTCTTTTGAACAGCTTGTCTTTTCCTTGAATTAAATTTCAAATCAACCGTTTTTATCCTTATTAATGAACAAATTTAAAAAAATCATTCTTGGCTACAATTTTTATTCTTTATGTTATAAACTAGTTTTTTGTGCGCTCCTTTTCATACAGAGTGCGTGCAACAGGTGTTGCAGTTGCAGCTCTGCAGCCATGCCAGACTCATTCCCTCGTCGGTCTGGTTTGCCGGCGGTTGCTGCGAGCTGGCGATCCCAGCGGTGCTCACAGCAGCGATAAGATTGAGCGTGACGTCAGTTGCGGTACCGTAACCAACCATAACGCGCTCGCTGCTCTGGTCCTGCCGCAGAGGATCACTGTCAGTGTTGTCAGGTTCGCCGAGTTATTAATTTGTGTCGTCAGGTGCTCGTCGCCTCCGCAGGTTCTCACGCGTCAAAAAGTGCGCCGGGGAGGAGTTTTGTCTGATTCACCATGACCAGGGTGAGTTGCTAAACATTCTTTGAATTTGCCGTCGCATGCCTGAATGAGATGATCGGTATTCATGATTTTTTTTATCAAATAACATCGACCACATCGTGTTTGGTTTACAAAAAAAGAAATTGATTTTTTACAATGTAATGTAATACAGCGTGTTTTACTCCAATTAAATTTTTTATGACTTCGCATGTACGCAGTAGAAATTTTGGCAAAATATTTACATGCAGCTTATCTCTAAAATGAAGAACAATATTATTTTTTTATAATAATTTAAAATTTATGTGGATACTTGTGTAATTTAACACTTTACACTTCAGGTAGTTTTTCATGAAAAAATTGAAACCTTTCATAGCAAAAATAGTCAACTGCTGACCCCAAAACGTGACTTGCGATCTGCTGGTACTTTAAAACATTGGGTTTCTTGTGTCGGTATTAAATACTAAAGGAATTTAACAAAAAAGTACATAGCAGATTTGCTGGTCATGATTAAAGGTTTGTTGTTTATCATTTTTATTTCAATGAGGTAACTACGCCGGATTTCACTTTTTTTATTTTGATAATAATGAATTTTTACTATCAATAAGTAAATTTTATCACATAATTTCTCTTAAATATTTATTGCTTGCAACATAAAAAGCATTAACAATCATTTAATTGTATGAGTATAATAAAATGTTACGCTGCAACACTTTTATATTTTGAAACAATTAACTGCTTGATTTTTTTTATAAATGTGGAGCTAAAAATGGCATTTTTATGATTTATTATGTATTGTTTTAAATGAACAATATTGAAAATTTAATACAATATTAACAAATTATAAGATTGAAGCCATGATATTATTTATTATACTTATATAAAATTGTGTACAACATGCGTTTGTTTTTATCGGCTACAGAAACTCGCGACTGAAGCCCACGAGCTTGTGTTTGACTTAATTTATTTTCTCCTTCACTGGTCAAAGACTACACAGTTCGTCAGCCAGTCTTTTTTATTGTTCCCTTTCATTGAGCATCGCGATGGAGGACTGCAGTACTTGATTCAAGGATTACTTTCTAATCGGCGCGTACCTCCGATTGTAAGAGACTCGCATTCGAAATCGTGAATTGAGATTCTTAATTCCCGGCAAATAAGGAAAATAGAAACCTTTTTCGTTCTGTTGCAATTTAAATCGATTCGAAACCACGTGTGCTCGACCGTCAAAGGATTAAGGACAATGGTGGTGTTATGTTGTAATTATCGACACGCGCGACTAGAGAGCGTTGGGAAAATAAATATAACTGATTTTCAATTACATAAATTTCAATCCGAATTGTATTACTTTGTGCAGGTTCTTGAGCCGATTGAGTTGTTGGTGCAAATGCACAAACAATAAAATCCTATGCAACTCATGCAGAAGAACCATTTCCAATAACAAACGCATGTGTACAAAAGGTACACATCGCGCACATTCGTAAGCCGTTTTGTATAAAAATATTGTAAGAAGCGAAATCCGATCGCGAATTTGTAATTTGAAATCTTTTTTGTGCGACATGAAAAATGTATAATATGTCGTAGTCTTTCGTGCGAGCAGGTGTCACGTTGAGCAGAATCACGTGTAGGGTGATGGACGCACGTGCTCTTGAATTTAAACCCATTTAAGCAACACACATAAGTGTACGTGTGTATGCCAACCATTTATTGGTTTTAAATAATTGAATATATAATAAACAGACTTGCTTCCCAAAGGGAAATTTTCATTTAAAATACGTCTTGAAACATGTAACAGAAGAGGATAAAAATCCGCAGATCTTTTCAATTTGTGGTGAATGAAAAATAGCCATACGACGTTTAATTAAAATTTTCAATTCATTTTATTTTATTCATTATTAACTAAAATAAAAAATTCATTTTTATTTGATTTGAACGTTGAAAAAATTTAACATGATTTTGAATCGTTAATACGTATGGATTTATTTTCTATATAGTTTTTACGGTTTTTACTTTAAAAATTAAAACAGAAAGTTAGTTTTTAGGCACAGAAATCAAAATGTAATCAATGATCGATTGGGTCGTGTGGCTCTCGAGCAGTGAATGTCAGGGCAGCCCCACAAGTTGAATGACATTATTCTAACAAGATTTGCTCGCAAGGGCCTCCAGCGGCGTGTCATTTGGTCTGGGAACGCGCTTAGGCCAATACGTGTTCCATGAAACGGCTACAAGTGAGTACTTTGCATTTTTCCAATTGCATTTTTCATTCAAAACCATGCGAAATGGAAAACTTCCATGATTTTATCATTCAATAGTGTATAATCTTCTTTAAAAAAATTTGCATTTTGCATCTTAGGAATTATATATGGAAATTTTGGAAGGCTGCGCCGATTTCACTCTTTCTATGCACGATATTATCCTCTGCAGCTTTTGTTTTGATTTTATTGCCTTATTTTGCTGAGAGGCTCCGCGAGTTGTGATTTTAGCTGTTGACGACATGTCGTGCGTAAAGAACAATCTCATCTCCGGCGCTCAGGCACCGAGCAAAATTGCCTTCTCTCGGCACCGCGTAGATTTCTTCTTTTGCAAAAGTCACGTAGCAGCAACTCGAGATGAGCTGCAGGTGAATATTGGGACTTGTGCTTTTTCAAAAGATGCTTTATTTGGATCGACTGATGCATCCATTTGTATGACGGAGGCATTTTCTGGTCGAGTGGAAAGGTCGTCGCAAAAGTGCGCTCCACTGAGCCAAAAACTCAATCAGAGCATTCGAACTGATCAAGTGTCACGCGGGGCTTCACTCAAAAAACGGGGAAGATCACAATCAACCTCTGCACAATGGAAACCGCTACGATTTGGCCTCTGAGCAATTGAATCTAAATAAGCAAACCTAATATTACAGCTTTTTAATTGAAAGGAACAGAGGGAGGAAAATTTTAATTCAAGCAAATCCAAGTGATTTATCACAATTCAGAAATTAAAAAAATAACATTTTTATATATTCCTGATTTAAAAAAAATCAATAGTTTATGTAAATATTTATGCAATATAAACCACTATAAACTGATGGTAACTTTGTTTAATCACATTTTAAAACCTCTACCAGGTTATTATGAAAAAATTAAATATTTTTCCAAGTTTTCCAAAAATAATATCCTAGACTAAGCTCGTAATTATTTAAACTTGATTATTATTTCAATAAAAATGGGGTCCAAGCTGACGAATACAACAATGGAATCCAGTTTCATTGTGAACCAATCAGAAATGATACCATCAAACTGGTACCATTTCTGATTAGCTAGCAACAAATGAAAACTAAATGAAATCCATTGTTATACAAATCGTATCCTAAATTTTATTTTATTTCAAGTCGTGCCAAGGCCATTGAATAATTTTTTCACATGTGATACAGTTTATTCAATTTTTGTTTTTATAATTTATTTTATGGCAGAGACAAATGGTTCTCACGAGAGAGAGAAGTCCCTGAACCCTGAACAAAGAACTTCAAAGTAGGCAAAATAAATTTGATGTAAATTTTTATGTAATTTTTCGTAATCTTTGACACGACGTTGCGGTTTACCAGGCAATTACATTTAATTTTTGCGAGAAACTCGTGCCTTTGTGACCCAAAAAATTCTCTGAGCAGTAGGAAAACACGTCGATTCCTAAGAAAACAGCAATTGTTGATAGTTTTATTTTCACGGCGAGGTTTACGTCACTTTTTTCCCTCGAGTCTCTATTTTCAAAGTAGTGCTTTATTGCCAACTCTTTCTCGCCATTTACTTCTGCCGTCACGTGGAAAACTCTACTCACAGTCTATTTACTTGCCGACAAAAACCAAGTGGCTCGTTTTTTGAATGGAAGAGAAGATGCAAAAGCGAGGCGGCGTTGTTGAAAAAAAGCTGTCTTGATGAGACAAAAAGTCTCAGTCAGTCGAGATTATTATTAATGCAAAGTTCTCTTATTGCTTTGCCGTCTAGAGAACGGTGTGTCCGTTTCAAATTGCTTCTTTTGAAAGAGGATGACGTGACATGCAATTAAAAAGAAATGCTTTTCTGATTCAGCAGATTTTGTATTTTCCCTATGAGCTTGTCTTTCCATGATCTCGTTATGCTCTCTGAATCAAATTATGAATTAACCACTCACTTTTGGCTATTGCCAAAAAGCATATAGAGTTTTACGACTTTGCTAGTTCTTACAAAATGTGGGTTAACGGCAAGCATTCCTCCGATAAAACTGCGACTATGTAACGATGGTCGTTTTTATAGTGTGCTCAAATCCTCTATTTTGCGATAGGCACCATAAACCCCTCAGCGGTAATTTAGAACATTTGCAAAGATAAGTGATTGAGCAAGTTTGTATTACACGTGATTGAAGTTGCCAATTAGATTTGCCTACTTTCTACAGCAATCGTTAATCAGTTAGAAATTAATGGACCGAGCATTTTGATTTTACTCTTCCTAAAAAATTCCCTTCCTGCTGCAGATAATAATTATGATTGTAAATCCAGAGAATCCCGTTGTTTCCATTTGCAGCAAATTCCTGAAAATCTGCTGTGACCGAGCCAGATCGGCACGTAATTGTCGCGATTAATTCCGGTGGGACACGCGAGGGTCCGTGAAAAATGACGTGCGCATTGTACGAGTGCGAGCCACGCGGTGCGTGATTCCTGTGCCTGCATCGCACACATCAAACCACTTGATATTACTTCTCTATGTGGTACGCAAAAACTAGGATTCGCCGCACGAGCGTCGGGTTTATTTTAATTTGAATCGCGCGTAACTGTTTATTGCGGAACGTAGACTAGGATCTTTAATGTGCTCTGTTCCTATGGAAAAAAAACACTGGGTAATTTCGCGAAAATTTATTTGCTTCTCTGGCATTAGTTAACGCAGATAAAACCTGTTTGAAATAGTAGCTATATAGCAGCTTTATAGGTGACTTTTAAATGTTGTAAAAAATCAGGTTTCAATTTTGAACTAGCCAGGTTTATCATATAAATTAATCTTTAATTGGATAATTATGTTTCTCATTAATTTTATAAAAAAAAAATAGCTAGTAAAGGATGATATTAAATTATGTATTTGGGTAAAGAGTGTCCGTAGATTTCTTGCTAAACCAAATTTGCAACTATAGATCGTGACAGAGCAGAACTTGAATAAAAATAATTGAAAAAACATTTCTTGAATTTATGTGCGTTGGTTGCATTTTAATTAATGAAATTATTAAAATAATTTTATGACAATTATTTTAAGTTCTAATTTAAACTGATTTTTTTTTAATGTGATATATCATATATAAGATAAATTAGACGGCATGGATTTTAAATGAAAATGTCAAGAAATGTTATTGAAAGAATTATTTACTGTTTTATTAATTAGCAGCAATTTTATATTTTCTAGTAAATTTGTATGATAGAGATTTAAAAAAAATCCACCCCCTCAAAGTGATAATAATTTCATCAACCAAGCTACATTTTTGTTTATAAATTCATGAAATTTGTTGGCTATACTTCAACTTTCAGCCTGACCATCAAAAAAATATAAATTTGTTTGACCTTAAAATTAATTGACTATCAATAATTTTTATCAAGAGAGTTTAATTTGGCACTGCAGCCTATCACTCTATCAGTTTCTTTACACGAAACATCTTCAAGTACCTTCAGAGAAATATTTTCCTATCTCTGACAGAAAATCTCTCTCTGACGGAATGTTCAAAGAGAAATATTTGCACTTCCGCGCTTTGCTCATCGTAAATAATTGCAGATTGCACTTGCTCTCAAGATAAACTGGAGAAGTTTGCAATAAACGCAGTAGCGGCTACTAATAATATTAGTTCGTTGATTCACTCATTATATAATTTCCGCCGTGTGTATATACGCGATTTACAGCTAGGCCACTCTTTCTTTCCCCTCTGTTGGCTGTTTCACAAGGGCATAAATTAACAACGGGCGTTGTTGGTCCACGCGGCAGAAAAAGCAACACAGGAAGAAGAATAAATTAAAAACCGAAATGTGCGCAACAACTTTTGCCACTGCATGCTTTTTTATCACTGACAAAATATTTATTTATCACCGCAGCACTACTTGTGAAAAAACATAATGTGTGATAATGGAGCCCCCTCCCGCGTGTTCGGCGCATTATTGCACACTGGTGCTGAAAAGTGTCAGTCGGTTGTTGTTATTGGTGAAGCAAAGAGGCCGGCCGAGCACCTGTTGTGTTCCATACACAGGTGCATCTTTTTCTGCAGCGATTGCTTTTTTACCTATAGTGTAGTGTTTTGTTCGGATCGGAATAACACACTTCTTTTTCACGCTTCTAATGAGCGCGTGAATATTGCGAATGCACACGCGGCCAGTCTGACTCGGATTCGACGGACGACATTTGCGGTGAATTGACGTATTTTGCAGTTTCCCAACGCAGATACTTTTAATATGGTAACGTTTTGGTTTTCCTACATGACTCACGTTAGCTCCAAGTAATAAAAATTTCTAATTTTAATTTGATTAAATAATATGAACCGGAAAGAACATTAAATTATTTTGGAAAAATTGAAACTAATAATGTTATATTAATTATGGCTTTTGAAAGTGTGCGTTATATTTAGAATTTCTAATTAACTCGAAAATATTTCAATTTTTTTTATGTTAAATAACAGTTTAACCTTCACCCACACAAAAGTGCAATTTCAACCATTTCCATATGTTGAACTTATATTAAAGTTACATTGCACTACCAAATATATTACGTAAAAGCGTGGGAGAGATTTTGTTTGCTCAAAGATTAATTTTATGTAATAAAACTTTCCACTTTTAAACTGCTTTTATTGCATTTACTCCAGCACTTAAACAATTCCAAGGTTAAAATTAAAAATTTTAGAAATACAAGTCAGTACTTTAAAAAAGCAAATCTATCTTTGCTTGCTGCGGGTTGCTTGCTAACTTTAAAAAGTATAATCAACACTGCACATATGACGAGATTTAAAATAATGTTAATTAAACCACTCAAGAAATATCCAGATGCAATTTATATTTTAATTAATTTCTTTCGGTTCGTTTACTTCAATGAAAATTTTTGCGCCAATTCAAAAAATTAATTGTTTTTTTTTTTAATATAACATGTGACTTAAATTAATAGAGTGAAATGAATTAATGTTAAAAAAATAGCTGTAGGTGTTGAATTTTGATTAATTATTTGCAAGAACTAACTCGAAATCTCATAATAATAAACCTTATCAGGGATTACTTTAATCACCCTAATTACAAAGAGTTTAAATGCAGTGTGACTAAACGAGCCTATTACGGTGTAAGTAATAATTAAAATCCACCGTGTGGTCCTCAGAAAGTCCCACTTTGAATCATCGTGCGGCGTGAGAAAGTTTTTACAGCCCATTCACGAAAAACCCGATCTCCGCTTGAAAGTCGCAAGCTTGGCGAATAATTAAAAATGCCAACGCATCTCTCGACTGTCGCTTCCTCTCTATGCGAATATGTACGTAATTATATTGTAAACGCTCGTCGTGCACTTAAACAATAAAATTTAAAACAGCTACCTCTCTTGAATATTATCTCTCTCGATTCTTTTCCACGACTTTTTTTATCTTCGGCTCACAGCATTTTTCTATTGGAATGAGTCGACGCGAAAAATAAAAGCACGAGCTTTCAACGATAAAAGTGGAGATAATTTTCGCCGACGCAGTGTTAGGAGGTGAGTCAGTCTAGCGATTTTAATTTGGATTTAATTATCTGCAGCACGTCACCCGCAACGCACCGCAGAGCTCAACTTCAACGCTGCAATTAGCAACGGGTGCATATTAAAGAAAGAAAGAAAGGCTTTCTTAGTTCAGACCTCGATTACGACGAATGCCTCTCTCGTTTTTCGAGACCCTGTCATCGAAATAATCTGATAAGGTCGCGCGATAAAACTTTTGCTCGTCAAGTCGTCACTTTTCTGTGCCCGTGATATGTCAAAGCGGCATCGGTGATGCGGGCGGCAATAAAGCAATCTCCTTTTTTTGTCAAATAATCTGACGACACTCACAGGTAATCGATGAGGTCGTAAATTCAGAGAGTAATTGTTTCTTTGCAACTATCTGCCGATTTACTGCCGCCACATTATTATTTTTGGGTTTAATGCGTCAGACCTTTGGTGATCAATGGCTGTGCAAACACAACCAAATTAGACAAGATTAGACTGCAATATTGAATGAGGCTAAAATTATTTGTTAATAAATCCACGAGTTTCATTTCAAATTTAACATGATATATTTTCTAAATGAATAATGAATTCATGAATTTCATTCTTATGATTAAAAAAGATTTAAATTGGGTTTAGAGTGGCGATTTAGTCTTACAATACTTATTGGGTTCTAATTATGGCCAAATTTCATTAATTGAAAACAAATTTATAATATTAATTTGCAAAATTATGATTCTTTATGAAAAATTTAACTCTCCCCTCTGAAATTTACTATAGCAATAATTAATAGACGTAAAAATTATGCCAAAAAAGATGTTCATCAGAAAGATTTTTAGATTAAAAATAAATTTTTACGTTAGATGGTTATAACATTTTGTGATATTTTTAAAACTCTCACTGTCAGATTGATAAGAACAATTAAAATTTAACAAGAATCTAAAATTTTCTGTATTATTAAAAAAAAAAAATCATTATTCATTTTTGCATTGTTGCTATTGTTGCAGGCATGATGGCTTCACACTACCACGGGCTGAGCCAGCACATCACCTTTGAACAACTGCCCGACCCTTCGACCAGGTTCCAGTTGGAACAGGTGATCGGAGAGGGCACCTATGGCGAAGTCTTCTGCGCCAAGGATCTCGACTCGGGCCAGCGGGTGGCCGTCAAGGTGCTCGAAAATGTGGCCGACAACGTCGAGGAGATTGAGGAGGAGTACCTGGTGCTCCGCGACCTCAGTCTGCACCCCAACATCCCGCTCTTCCACGGCCTCTTCCTCAAAAGGGGCGCCACCCCTGATGACGACCAACTGTGGTTCGCCATGGAGGTGAGAAAAAAAATTTTGCTCGATTTTTAAGTTAACATTTTTAATAAGAATTTTTACTTTTTGTGCATAAAATATTTTTATTATTGTTATTTTTTCTTCTCGGGCCAGGAAAAATTTTTAATAGGGACGAAAAAAGGAGAAAGGGTTTATATCTTGAAGGAAAATAATTTTTCTCGTAAATTATGGGCCGAAATTGGATAAGAAGGTTTATAGTTAAAATATTGATTCTATTATACGTTTTTTTAATGCCTTGCACAATGCAATGTATTTAAAATGTATCCATATAGCAGAGGTTAAAGTAATTAAAAATCAGGGTCATCTTGACGAATCTGCAATAATTGTCAAAATCCGCTATTTTTACATCCTTTTAAGGGAAATCATTAAGAGGTATGTGCTTTCCTCTTTTCCCATTAATTATTAAACAAGAAGGAATTCGCGCACAAAAATATTTTCCAAATAGTTTATATCAACTTCAGTGATGAAAAGTTGATTTTTTTTCTTATATAAATCAGCAAATGATGGATTATCTATCCTCGGCTCCTGAACTTTCCCACCCATTGAAAGTTGCACGTTTCTCCCATAAATTCGAGCTTATCCTGCATCCTTTGATTATGACAACCGGTTCACAGAAAAACAATAAAAAATTAAAGACGCACATTTATTATAATGAAAAAGTACACGCCGACAGAGACAAAGGTCAGAGAGAAACTGTCCTGGTTCACAGGTGCACCTTTGTGGTACGCACATTAAAATAGCACTTTATTTGAAGAATTTCTCTGGCACTGACCTGCGCTCCGCCAGCGCTGACCCCACGACTAGCAGTAGGCAGGAGGAACCTGATTTGCTCAGGTAGTTCTGCCGCAGTCCGGAGGTTCGTCTCGCCAGGTGCGCACTCGCTCTCGGCGAGGCTCCTTCTCTCAGTTTTTCGTCTGTTGAAAATCTAGTTTTGTGCTTGAGTTGGATTACTTTATTTTGCCACAAGCTTTGCAGGTAAAAGAATTTAATTGGAACAAATTCCATTCTCTTGAAGTTAAGATTGCCAAATTTTCATTTAAGTTTATTTAATTTCGTGATTGTTTATTTCGTTTTGTTGAAAAATTTCTCAATGAAGATGAATTTCTTGCGTCTGTTGAATTGTAAATCGTTGATTTCTTGATGAATTTTATAGGACTTTATTTTTACTTCTTTATTTTATCAATAAATTAGGAAGCCATAATTTAGGCGGTGAATTTTTTTACAAAAAATATGAATCTAATTTGTATTTTTTTTTTATATTATATTCAGAAATTTCACTTAAAAATACAATAATTGGAAATACACATAAAATACAATAAAATTAGCTCTTTCAATAATCAATGACTCTACATTCAAATAACATAATGAAATTTCTTATCTTTATTTTTCACAAACAGGCAATTGAGTAATAATTTATAATTTACTAAATGTAGTGATTATGGGTAAAATTTATTGTCTGATGCATAAATTTTGCTGCCTTATAAAATCACCTACCTATACCATTAAAAATGTTAAGCATATAATTTATTGCCCTGCCTGGAGCATTATACATCATAGAATAATTTTTTCTTTTCATCCGTAATCTAATGCAAGCAGATTGTAAAACTCCTAGTATTTTCATCAAAATGTTTTTATTGGCCAGCGAGCTTCCTCCATGATTAGGTCATTAAGTGTGATAAGATTGGATGCATCATCGTGGCGCACGCTAAAAATTTTAGCTCAAAGGGATTTATTCGGAGCAGGGCCTTTTAATTGGGCTGCAGCGCGTCACTATATAATAAAATTAATAAAATTGTTGCAGAGCAATAAACTGCGTGTAAAATGCTGCTTTGTGTCTGACCGCATATATCTGTAATACGAGAGGAGCAATAAAATTGTTATTATAAAGGCTGACCACAAGGACCGTCAAAATCAATCTAACGGTTCTTAGTAATTTATTCGGCCGGCGAGCGTTTTAATGGTCTAATCTATAACACCGTGGAGAATTATACTGTAAACAAATCGTTTCCAGCCCATAAAAATTGGTCGTTAATATTTTGTTGGTTCAGAAAGACTCCACTATTATACTATTATCCCCTTTATTAATATGGTTTTTAGATTTTTTTTTCATTAAAATTAACATTTTATATAACTTTTATTAATTTTTTGTATTTTTGAACTATTTTTCAAATAAAATATTGGCGCGTGTGTGTAATTTTTACAGTTGTGCACCATGAATAAATACATATTTTTAATAAAAACGTGCTAAATTTAGCGTCACTAATGAGTACTCGTGTGTTCATGTGCGTTCTTGTTGCAGCTGTGCGGCGGTGGTTCAGTGACTGACCTGGTGCAGGGCCTCAAGAAAAGAGGCCAAGCACTCACCACAGACCAGATCGGATACATCCTTCACGAGACAGTCCAGGTAAGAAGGAAATCAAGTTCGAAATCAATGCGCGAGATTCTCTTTAAATCGCGTCATTGTGCAGTACGGGTTTTGTCCGATGCATTCAAATCCATTTGGAGCGAGCGAGAGGTGTGAGACGAGAAATTGAGCAGAAGGAGAGAGAAAGAGAGATACTCTCGGCCTCGTTGCTAGTATTCTCAAATTGACTTTGAAACAGATTAAATAAACCAGTTTCATGCAATTTTGAGGTTCAACATATTGCACTGGCATGAAACGGAATGCTGTCTATAAAGGCTTTTGGTTTTATTTTATCCACAAATTTTAATCTGAAAAACCAAATTAACTCAATGTTTTAATCTTTGAATTACAGTCTTTTGAGTTTAAGTGCCGAAATTTCAATTTCATTTTAGCCTTTTTTCAAATTCATGCTTTTGCAATTAAAGAAAAATAAGTTTTTCAGTGTCGTTCAACTCTTTGATCAATTTTGTTTTGAAATAGAAATCAAATTTGTCTCAAATTAGAAATTTAAAAACAAAAATGAAGCACTGCAGACGTTTTGAAAAATATTCTTCACATTATTTAAGTATTGTAAAATCGCCAAAATTGGCGTAAAATTTTTGAACCTCCAATTGATTCCTTTAAAGCCATCGTACACTAGCTTTTGATTAAAATGTCGCACAATGAAAAGGCAATTTTACCGGTGCACACTCATTCGTCGTTTTTCAAACTGGCACACTGCACTAGTCGCATCCGTCGTTATGATTATGCACGCACGACGGAATTGCCGCCGCACACCAAGTGGCCCATTTCCCCGCAAATTACAATACATGCATCTAATTAAAGTAATCTCGCGCTCACGACCCTTGCGCTGAGATGAATAATTGCACCGCAATTATTTGTAAATCCCTTTCACGCGCACCAATTAGAATGGCCAGCGGCCGTACTTTTTGAATTAATGCATTTTTCATTATTTAACGCTTGCTTGCGTGCTCACGATAATTTTTTGCTCGTTTGTTAATTAAATGACCTCCCACTTGACTAAGCAAATTTTATTTAATTGTGAATGAATTCTTAAGCGTTTTTCTTATGGGGACGTCAGCAGTCTGTGAATTTATGTTTTAATTCCATATAGAAGTGCCGCTCCTGAATTATATCTTTGGCGAAATAGAGACCGGTGTAATTATCCTGTCAAGATTTGGGTGACCACATGATGCATAAAATTACATGGTACACTATGAAGCCAAAAGGAAAGTTTGACGTGTCTAGACCGGTATTTGTATAATGGTTTCCAAGCACGTAAACTAGGAATAAATCTTCAAAAATTCTGTTAAAGAAATTCCACCACCGATTATTTCATGCAACCCAATTTAAATGGCGTGCTCAACGCTCCATTTTCTTAAAACGCAATCAACGCTTTCAAAGTGAAAATGCAAAGTTGTGTATACTTTTATTTTATTGCTGCCTAATTATTTCAGAATACATACACATACGGATAAAAATCTTTCGTGCAAAATAAGACGCTTGTTCTCAGAAAATTTTAAAGCCTCTTGAGAGGAAACTGTGGTTTTATGTTATATTTTATTGTGCGCGGAAATAATTAATTCTCTCCTTTTGCGCTGGGAGAATCGTTGATAAGTTGAGCGTACGCGGGCAGGTGAAGGCGAGCATTTTTTTTACCGTCGAATACGTTTTGGGAAATCTGAAACGATCAAAACCAAGCGGAGCGAGTCCAATTAATTACAATAACAACTGCTGTGATTTATCTTTCAAAGTAAAACACATTTCATAATAACTGTTCATTGACAGTCATAGGCCCAGAAGGAATTTTTCATTTAATTAAAAATTGTTTTAACAGGAGATTTTAAAATAATAATCTCTATTTTTCCTACTAACAAATTAGTAATTTTAATTTATTATTTATTTGAAATATTTTAATATACTTTTGTACTACTTATTTTAAATGCTCTTAATTTGTATTTAAGCTACGCTCACGAGGTTGAAGAATTATTGAAAACCAATTGTTGAATTTACTTTGCAAAAACGATCATTAGGAAAAGAGAAGAATTTATAAAATTTTAATTCCTTTTCATTGTTTTGATTTTTTTTAACATAAAAATAATCTCCAAGTGACTTTCCATGTTGTTAAATTCGTTTTTATCTTCTTTACCAAATACCAAATGACCATTATGAGATATTTATTTGCAAACAAATGTAAAATATTGTCTGTAGAGCCTAGACCTAGAAAGAACTTCTCTGATTAGACAAATCAATCAATATTTCACTCAGCGTACATCTCACCTAAATATTTTTCAACCATTTTATGTTTGATCGCTTCTGAAGACGTCCTAGATGTGCTTGCAAATATCGTATTGATAGTTAAACATTTCTTTTTTTTTAACAAGGGTTCACAAGATTGCTAAATTAATTGTGATCAAATAATTTACGTAACGACAAACTTTTAATTTTTAATCTAACGTTGTGCTCAGATAAAAATAATAATGAAAAATTATGAACTAAACAAAATGTGATAAAATTATTAAAAACTAATAAAATCTTTATATAATTTTCCAGGCTTTGCTGTACCTGCATCAACACCATTGCATGCACAGAGATGTAAAGGGTCACAACATCCTGTTGACCAACGAGGCGTGCGTAAAATTGGTCGACTTCGGCGTCTCCTCTCACCTGGGGGCCACCCTAGGCAGGAGGAGCACTTCTGTAAGTAGCAATTTGTGTTGTTGCTTTTGCTAAATATATTATTAACTGTTGTTAACAAAAAAAGTTGACATCCAATTTTCAATTCCGACTCTCTTTTGCGCTTTCTATTTATATTCGAAATAAAGAATATAATATTTTTGTTATCGACATTCTTTGAAATAAAAGTGCGAACGTCATTTGTCTGGCTGCCGGCTGTTTTTTCTGCCACAATGAGAGAGGCGGCTTCTGTTGTTGGTAATTGCTGGTACTCACGGTCCAGCCATTAATCATCTCTGCGCGTGTCCGACTCTAATGCGGCTTTAACCTTAAAATTATCGAGTGATGCGCGAATACATAATTTTTTACTGTCCATTAGTTTCTCGCCTGCGTCAAAGGAACCCAATTTAAATTAAAACAGGTTCCGTTGTTTCCTGCCACTTTTTGACAAGTGCACTTTCGACCATCATTCTTCATTAAAAACTGGAGTGTCTTTTGAGGTTTTTTTTTAAACACCCATTTTCAACCGTCTTACAATCACTTTTTCGGTCGCTTTTTAAAAACCTGTTTTGCGGTGACTCTTGGTGCTCTTCCATTTGATGGCAAGGATGACCTCCTGCTGACTTTCTATTCAAGAATAAATCAATCTGCTGATTTATAAATCAACCTCTCCAGCAGCATTTTTCGTCTTTCTCCAAACCAGATCAGAAATCCTTCTAGAATCGTGACTGTCTAAAAACACAAACACTACCTAGATTTATTTTGCGAGCCATTAGCTCTACGCATTTCAGCCAGTTTTCGCCAATTTGATATCATCATGTGATTTATTAAATGAGATGCTCATTAGAGAGGAGAAACTTTTTATCTCCCAAATGAACGTGGGCAACATTAATTTCTAAAAGGCTAATTAATTTTTTTGTCTTGAGTGGCCGCATCATTTGTTCAATCCTTTTCTGCACATGTTTTAGGTTGGTACTCCATACTGGATGGCACCAGAGGTCATCGCATGCGAGCAACAACTGGACGCTAGTTACGACGCTCGTTGTGACGTGTGGTCTTTAGGAGTCACGGCCATTGAATTGGCCGAGGGTGATCCACCCCTTTCAGAGCTTCATCCTATGAGAGCTCTTTTCCAGGTAGATTTTTATTTATAGCCACATTAATTATGATATTTAGCATTAGCAGTTTTGTTTATTTTATTATGCACCTTTCAAAATATTCCAATTTTTCCAATTGTTAAAAAACAGACCTTTTGCAATCAATATCTATTTCTGTTCCAATATCATTACGCATTTCCCCCTGGTTCCAATAAACATGTAGTTCTCGAATCTTTTTGCTTTTGCGAAGCCCCGTGTGTGTGAACAGCGTTGTTCCGCCTGGGCAGTTAGCTTTTCAGCATTTCTGGGGGTTTTCCTGATCCAATTATTGCTTCTCTTACACGCGTTTGTCGTCATCGCTAGCCGCGCAACTAATTATGTGAATTTGCTCAAAGCAAAAGGGTTATTTTCTGTGTCATTTCTTATCGCAAAAACGAAAGGACTAGACTGAAAAAGATGTCGCACTACTCGCTATTTGCAGATTCCGAGGAATCCGCCACCAGGTTTGCAGCACCCTGAGCATTGGCACCCTGACTTGGCAGACTTCATCTCCGAGAGCTTGATCAAGGATTTGGAGCAGAGACCGTTTGCCCGCGAACTTTTGGAACACCCCCTCATCAAAAGGGGTGCGATCTCCTCTTCACAGGTTAGAATTTTGGTCCAGTTTTCAACTCTAAAACATATTTTTTAAATTTTCTTTTTACATAATCAAAATTAGGTCACCTAATTGAAATTCCAAAAACAGTCTTTAAAATTTATAAGCTAAATTTATACATACTTAGAAATAATATTCCTCACAATAATTAAGTATCGTACATATTGAAAAAAAATAAATAAGAAAATTATCCAAATCTCATCTTATCAGATAATTGAGTAATTTTTGAGAACCAAAATTTTAAATTTTTATTTATATTTTAAAGTCTCGCCACCAATTGAAAGAGGAGATTGACAAGCAGCGTGCTGAGGGCCGCGTAATTCGCCAGCCCGAGGTCACGACCAAGCACGGAAAACTTAAATCTGACCGCAAGTCTCGTCCCCAACAAATGTATATGGATGATTTGGCCGCGTTGGACAATCTGTCTGAGGACACCATTGTCCAACAGCTGGAGAAGCGATTCGACCAGCGCCAGATTTACACCTACATTGGAGATATCCTCGTCGCGGTCAACCCCTTTAATGAACTCGGTCTCTACACCGAAAAGGTTAGTTTAATTAAATATGAAGAGTTTTGCAAATTTCCTTCATGCGAAATTCAAACAGGAACAACGTCGTTACCGCGGCCAGGCGAGATCAGAAAACCCACCACACATTTTTGCGGTGGCCGATGCGGCTTACCAAGCCCTTCTGCACCAGCGCCAAAACCAAGCCATCGTCATCAGTGGCGAGAGTGGCGCTGGCAAAACGGAGAGTGCAAATTTGCTTTTGAAGCAGCTTGTCTTCCTTGGAAAGGTTGGTGATTTTTTTACTCAATGGAACTAAATTTAATTTATTTTATTTAATATTTTAACTTATACTTTCGCATCAGAATGAAAAAATTAGTAATTTTTGAGATGAAAATTTGAAAAAATAAACAGCGAATTTTTAACATTGATAAAAAATCAATATTTAAGATTTTATAGTTTTATTTGATATTATTTTTAATTTTGATCAGGCGCCAAACCGCAACCTGGAAGACCGAATTCTTCAGGTTAATCCTATTATGGAGGCTTTCGGAAATGCCCAGACAGGAATAAACGACAACTCCTCTCGGTTCGGCAAATACCTGGACCTGACAATGACCAATAGTGGAAAAGTCACCGGAGCCAGAATTTCCGTCTACCTCCTTGAGCAGTCCAGAGTGGTTCAACAGGCAACGTAAGTACAAAATTTACTTTTCACGTCATAAATTATGTGCTTAACAAGCAGGCGTTTGCATGGTTAATCTTTATAAATTTGATGAAATTTAGCCAGCGGGCAGATAAACTCCGAGACGCCTTAATTAATTCACTTGCAATTGAGCGTTCCATAACTCACTGCATAATTTTTTTTTGCTCCGTTGCGCTAGACATCATTTTTCACCATCATATTAAGGAATTAAAAAAAAAATCCATTGCGGCTCGTTTATCAAAGTCGTCTGCATAACACTTATCCAAGACGGTTAAATTTACGAGCGCCATAAAATAAAGAATTCCGCCGTCGCACCTGCCACCGCGTTGCCACTCAGCCTGTTAATTCGTCGATACATTGATTCACTTTTTAGAAAACGAAATTATATAATTAGATGTAACTTTCAATAAGGAAATTCAAACCTGTTCAAGCCGGAATGAAAGTTATCTTAAATATTGCTTAAAAAAAGTTAATTTTCAGGCACTTGTAAAAATTTTTGATGTTTTATTTTTTACTTCTGGTTTTCCTTTCAAAGTGGCGAACGCAACTTCCACGTTTTCTACTACCTGTACGACGGTCTCGAGTGGGACGGACGCATGAAGCGCTTCCACCTGGATGTCCACCTGAGGGGCAGACACCGGTACCTGGCCGGCGACCGCCAAGACAAGGCCACCAAACAGATCAACATTGGTCGATTCCAGCAGCTGAAGGAAGGATTCAAGTTGCTCGGCTTCAAGGAGGAAGAGGTGGACGCCGTCTATTGCATTTTGGCCGCCATCCTCCACCTGGGCGATCTCGAATTTGGAGAAATCGCGTCCGACGACAACACTGACAAGAGCAGGGTCATGGACCTCGCACCTCTCCATAGAGGTCAGATTTTTTTTAATAATTCAGTTTTGGAATGAAAACTTTTTAAATATAGTGTGTGCCCTTCTTGGAGTTGAGGCGTGCGACCTTCTGGAGGCGCTGACCTCCAACAGCGTGGTTACCAGGGGTGAAACTATTACTAGAAATAACACAGTCGCTGAGGCAAATGCGGCCAGAGACGCGATGGCCAAGGGTCTTTATGGAAGGCTTTTCGACTGGATAGTTAATCAAATTAACCGGTTGCTTGCCCTAAATAGATATACATGGTAATCAGTCTACGGAAAATTTTAAGCTTATCAGTTTTGACTGAAATATTTTTTTTAGCAAAGAGCCTCTGGCCATTGGTCTTTTGGATATTTTCGGGTTCGAGAACTTCTCCAAGAATTCGTTTGAACAGCTCTGCATTAATGTTGCAAATGAGCAAATTCAGTATTACTTTAATCAACACATTTTCACGTGGGAGCAACAGGTATATAAAAATAAATTTTATTATTGCTACAAGAAATTTAAATTTATTTGAAAATGTAGGAATACATGGCTGAGGGTATTCCGGTGGATCTCGTAGAGTTTTCAGACAATAGGCCTGTCCTGGACATGCTCCTTTCAAGGCCTATGGGACTTTTGGCTCTTTTAGACGAGGAGAGCAGATTCCCTCGATCCAGTGATTCTTCTCTTGTTTGTAAGCTTTTACGTTTCTTAATGAAATTTAAAATATTTAAATCATTTAAGTTAGATGATTTTTTTATGTTTTAATTTAAACTCAAATTTTCAGCCAAATTCCACAACAATGTGAAAAGTAAGTTCTATGTGCGGCCAAAAAGCAACGCCCTGTGCTTTGCCATTCACCACTACGCCGGCCGAGTGGTGTACCAGGCCGAAGGGTTCCTAGAAAAGAACAAAAACTTCCTTCCACCTGAAGTGATTCAGCTGCTGCGCCAGAGCGAGGTGGACACGGTGCGCTTCCTCTTCCAATGTCCGCTTACTAAGACGGGAAATCTTTACTCATCGGTCACTGGTCCTCCACCCTCTGGAGAATTAAATAACAACGCCAGGAACTTGACCCCTCCTGACCTGCCTTATTCTGATCACCACAACTCCAGAGTAATTAAATAAATAAAATTTATTTACTAAATATATAAAAAAATTAAATAATAGGAAAAATTCAGCAGTCGAGGATTGGCGTCTCAGTCCAGAGCACAGCAAACTGTGGCCACTTATTTCAGATATTCACTCATGGATCTCCTTCAAAAAATGGTATTTGCTAAAATGATTTGCAAGTTTAATTATATTTAATTATAATTATAAAAAGGTGAGTGGCTATCCACAATTTGTCCGCTGCGTCAAGCCAAATGACAGCCGCCGTCCTGGTGTGTTCGATCGGGAAAAGATCCTGAAGCAGCTGCGCTACACAGGCGTCATGGAGACCATCAGGATCAGACAGCACGGCTTCTCCCATCGTCTCACCTTCAGTGAATTCCTGCGGAGGTACTACTTTTTGGCGTTCGGCTATGACGAGCGCGTCGTCGCCAATAGGGACACTTGCCGTCTTCTTCTGTTGAGACTTAAGTTGGACGGATGGGCCCTGGGAAAGACCAAAGTTTTCCTCAAGTACTACCACGTCGAGTACCTCTCCAAGATGTACGAGGAGCAGGTATTTTTATATTTTATTTTTATTGATTTTGTTATGATTTTTTTTATCTCTTTAGCTTCGGAAAATCGTGTTGGTGCAATCTTGCATTCGCAGGTGGCTGGCTAAAATTCGTTATGACAAGAACAAGTGGAAGGTTGCCGCCAGTGTTCTTGTTTTGCAGAAGTACCTTAGAGGCTGGAAGGCCCGCAGAGAGGCTAAGATGCTCAGAGAGGAGCGGAACAGGAAGAGGAGGGAAGAACTTCGAGAGCAAGTTCGAAGAGGTTGGAAAATGCAATTTTCAATTAGCTTTTGTGATTTAAATCTTTATTGCCAGCCTCACAAGGCAGTCCGACAAAAGCAGCTGGTGCTTGGATTCAAAACAAGTTGCTTTCGGTTATGTCTCACGGTGACAATGAGAAGGAGAACAAAAAGAAAGGGTCTAGCAAGAAGGACGAGGCTGCCACAGTCATTCAAAGTCGTAAGTCACCAAATCTTAATTTAATTAAAAAAGGAATTAATAAATTATCAGAAAATTGGAATTAAAAGGGAAAAAATTGTTTGATTTTTTTAGATTATCGAGGTTACACTGTTCGTCGCAAGTGGAGCGCCGAGGCCGAAGGTCGCGTGCGCAGAGTGCTCGCCTCCCACAACAACCCTAGGGACGCCCTGGTCGCCCTGCAGGAAGAGGGCCTGGACCACGAGGAAGCTGCCGAACTGGTGACGCGCCACTACCATGGTTGGCGCCAACAGAAATACCCGGCGCCTCCTCCACCACCTGCCTACCCTAAGGGCCAGCAGAAGAAAAACAAGGACCGGCAGGCTGAGCTGATCGCGTTTTCGCAAAACGTTCACATGGTCAACCAGGACGCCCACAAGTTCCTCCGAAGGTATTATTTTACTTACGCCAATTTTTTATTTTTTTAATATATTTTTTATTTTGGGTTATTTAAAAATAAATAAATTTAAGAAACTGAATCATATATTATTTCTCTTTACTTACAGAAACAAACCCGGTGTTCGTCTCCAAGAGGTGACAGAACCCCCTGTTTCGTACCAAAGGCCACGTGGCTTCAACCTGATTCCACACTTGATCAACAAAGCAGACAACAGCGTCAAAAACAAGCAGAACAACCATCTATCCTACTACAACGCTCTCAAACAGGAAATGAACAGGTACACGGTCTACTAATTTAATGATTACATTCACTTAAAATGGTATATGTTATGCGTTTTCCAAGAAGCCAAATTAAAAAAAAAACGCGCAATTTACTACTATTTGTGAGCTGGTATCATAAAGCATGACATTGGTGATTTTTGCTTGCCATTATTTCTTGTTTCATACACAGAAATTCAATTTATTATTTTAATCCAACACATACATTTCAAATAAATTCATTCACTTTGGGACCCTTCGCATGTTTCTTTGCTAAATAATTTGTCCAGAGCCTCCCCGGAGGAGGAGGATAAAGAGGAGGAGGACGACGTTGACTGCTGGGATGGACCCCTTCTGCAGCTGCAGCAGAAACTTAGGCCTAAGGCCAGGTACTTAGGCCTTATTCTGAAAGTTTCTTTTACAGCTCGTACTGATTTATTTTGTTATATTTACTTTGCCTTTTTTCCCTGTTGATAAATTTTTATTTTGCAGGTTTTTATATGCACGCTTTTTTATTACTTTCTGCACATATTATAGGTTTCTCCGCACACACGTCCACGTGACTTTGTAGCATCATAATTCACAATGTTGATTCTTAAATTAAAGTTGAAAATTATTTGCAGAGGTCAGCCTGACGGAGTGGATCTGCAGAAGCAGAGGCGCGAGATGATCGCGGCCAGTCAGTCACAGGCGCGTCTCAACGAGCGCAGAGAGTCCAACATCCTCTCGGCTTGGCACAGTGCGCTTCCAGGCGATAAAAGTTAGTTTTTCAGCAATGGTTCGCGTTTCAAATTTTAAAATCTACTTAATTCTCAGCCGACCGAGTGAAGCATATCGGCAAGCAGGTCATCGACTCCGCCCTTAACCAAAGAATCAAGGAGTTGCACCGACAGGACAGCAACAATAGGTAAGATAACTATACATTTTAGTTCTTATTAACAGTAAATTTAAAAAGAAGTTGTTACGTCGAATGTAATATGCAACCTGAAAGACCAAATTTCCTTAGTAAAATTTTTTAATAATTAAATGTTAATTTTTTTCAGCCTGATTCAAGTGGGCAACAGCTACGTAACTGACCCTCCAACAATGAACAACAACAGGCATACGCAGGCAATGCAGTTCAGTCCTGCATCCGATCTCAGGAGGCTCCTCCGTCAAGGGGACAACACGCCATCTTACCACGTGAGTTAAATTTTTGGTCCTATTAGCTTTTATTTTCTTGCTTAATAATTTATTTTAAGCTAGAGAAAGTAATATAATTTATTTATCTTTCTTGTGTTAATTATCCTGTGGTGCCCAATTCGCCGTGGTATGATATTTTTATTTTATTTTTTTATCTCTATTAAAAAAAAAATTAAATAAATTATTCAGTTATTGAATACAGCTAAAAAAAATACATAAAAATTTTGATTATAATATTAAACTCTTTATTTTAATAACAAATAATTTGAATAATTTATTGGGTTTGAATTTTGTTGACTGAAATTTTCTTCAGTAGTTCTTTGAGTGTTTAGTTTTGAAATAAATCATTAAAATTTTAAATTTAGTAATAAGCTGGAAAAAGTTATAGAAATATAAGTACAAAAAAAGAGCTAATCACGTTTAAAAAGTTTTTTTTTCACATATGAAATCTACATCTGAATTAAATTGAGCTGCAGTTTTGCTGGGCCTTTTAATTGACTGCTTTTAACACTAAATGAAATTTCAGGAATCGGGAAGTGACGACATCGGCCCATACAATTTCAAGCAACTTTTGCGGCCGACGGAATACGCGCCGACCGAGTCACTGCGGAAACGCAAGGGTTTGGCGCACCTGAACCAAACAAGCCTTGATGACGAGCCTGTCATGCGGGCGCCGTCCAGTAAAAATCCACAGGACTCGCCGACGAAACGCAGAGCTCGGCCGCCTGTTGACATCCTTCGCCGGAAGTACTAGAGGCCAATTTTCATCAAAATTCATTATGATTTCAAATCGAGAGTACCTTTTACCAAAAACGGTGTAATTAAAATCACTTTTTTATGTTAGTTAACCACTATTGTAGTCACACCAATTGTTAATGTAAGCTAACCCTAAACCAGTGCCGCCAGTTCCTTTTAATTCAAAGATTGAATAAAATTAATGCTTCAACTTTTGCCTGATTAAGAAGAATTCAAATTAAGAGGCTAGTCCTGTTGAAGATATGTGTTGTTGAAAACAAACTTGTTAAGTTTTAGTTGGTTTTTTTTATTTAATGAGTGTGAAGTTTTAAAGATCAGTTTATCATTACTGGATGTTAAAGAAGCTTATAATTTTTATTAAATGTGTGCATGGAAAAGTGTTAATGGGTGTGCAGCTTTGTAGCACTTTTTATGGAGTAAATTATTGATTAATTCGGAGATATCCAATGAGAGAAAATAATCAAAGTCAAGAGCGATGAAGTTTTCATGATATACCATTCTAAAAGTGATGCTAGAATAAATTTGTAACAATAAAAAAGTCTTAAATTTAGTGCAATATTACTGATGAGAAGTTTTATTTTTCATATATACCTGCATGCCAATTTAATAATTCTTATCTATTTTAACATTGCATATTTTGGTGATTGTAGAATCATATAGTGCTGAGAATTATATACAAAAATTGTGTGATTCAAAATGAAAGAGTAGTCAAATTTTGTGTGTATTTGAATTTTTTTTACAATAAAATTTGTTTATTTTAAAGATACATATCGACACGAAAATTAATATTTCACGTGGAAATTTGTTTTTTTTAGTTGACGAGAAGAATAGTAACAATAATTCATGAAACAAATTTTATGCATACAAATAATGTGATAAGAGCCTGAAAATCAAATGTTATGGGGATTGCTTGAGGAGTGTTCGTGTGTGAAAAATTAAGTTTTTTAAAATTATCTTCAGCTTTTAGCTTCTTATTGCCTAATTAAATTAAAAATTCTTTGGTGATTTGAATCGGCTTTTCCTCGATGGGTTTTTGTGAGTTGTTTTCAGAAAAACAATATCCTGCTCACAAAAACCCATCAAGGAAAAGCCGATGATTTTAAATTCAAATCACCATGAATCATCCCTCGATTGTGAAATTCTACCAAAAAATAAAAATTCTGTACAATAACTTATTGGCTGCGCTAAAATTGCAAGCAAAGGAAATTGAAAAAGTCAGTCTACAATAAATCGAATTAAAGAACCACAATGGAAGCGTCGCTATTTTTAGACCAGTCGATAGCCCTCTCATATTCAAATGGGGTGCTTTTAGGAACAAAACTTTCGCCTATTCACCGCGCGCGTAAGGTCAGAGTTCAACTGCGCAGGGTGGTGGCTTGGCGTGCACCAGCACAATTAATGCCCGCGAGGAGGAGCGACGAGTTTTGTGTCGCTCTTTTTTTTCGAGTGTCCGCCGCGTGCTCCATCTCCGTTGTACGCGGCGCGGCCTCTCTCGCTGTGGAGTAGCGCACGGGGTAAAAATAGCCCGGCAGCAGCTCGCATGCGGTGCAGACCGACCCCTTCACTCAGTCCGGCGAGCGAGCGCATTGTCATCGGGTGTGCCGTGCAAAATGCCGAATCGCGACCGCGGCTGATACTTGACCCGCCGAGAGAGATTATTCTCGCCTGAAGGCTGCATCGATTGACCGCCGCCGGCCCCAATTAGTGCCTTCCAATTATGTGACTGGTCAAATTAACTAAGTGAGGAAGGAAGAATTAAAACAGTGCGTTGACTATTTTTATACTTTTTGTTTTGCGCTCTTGGTGCATCATCGGTCAAGAATAAAAGAGAGGAATAGCGTTGACAAGCCGAACATTCCCATTAGACTGCAAGTGTGAATTACCGAGGAGTAATTAAAGTGGTAAGTTTTAATTTCCCTATTACAACTAACCGATTGATAACGATTTAAACCTAGGGATCTTATTTAAAAATCCTTTTTCTTCTAGAAAATTAGCAGCATAAAAATGAGATTTTTTAATAATATTGAAAACTCTACGTTTTTCAAATTTAAGGTTGGCGAAGCAATAATGGAAAAAGCTTAACAAATACTCACTTACCATGATGACAAAGAGCTTTTTAACTTTCAAAGCTGTCTTCTCTTATCTTTAGCAAATTATATTTTGTTATTTATCCTAGATGAATTATTATTATTTTTTTTTTAAATTGCACTTGTTGATTTTGATTTAAAAACAATAAAATTAGAATTTTTATTTTATTAAGTTACAATTGAATTTAATTGTAAAATTAGAAAATCAATGAACTTTATCCAAAAATTTTCATCAAGGAAACCTCTCTTGTAAATAGTTATTTCGCCATGTATACTGAACAATAAAAGTTTTGAAATTCAAATTAAAAAAGGGATTAAAAGCATCTTTTATTAAGTTACATATGATATGAGGTTTTAAAACTCTAACGGTCCATAAAATTTAGTGATTAGAAAGACATATCTATATTTTCAATTTTTATTTTGTAATTTTTATTTTGTAATTTTTATTTTGTAATTTTTCAATGCAACCTAATTAAAAAAAAACCTACTTCGAAGTTAATCTGATTTCTTCAATTGCAGACTTAATAATTTTTTTTACAAAAACTCCAAGTACATATGTTATTTTCGTTCAAATTGCAAATGTCGCACCTTAAATATATTTAGATATATCTAGGAAATTTTGATGTGTCATTTTAGGTGCTCTTCTCGAATTGTAAACTTTTAGTAATATAGGTCAGGGAATCCCATTTGAGTGGCAGATCTCATGTCGTTTGATTTGACAGAATGAATCACGTTCTTTGATCATCTTCCGGGTTTTAATTAAGACACGGCTCCTCTCTCTGGACGAGCATCACGTTTTTCGAGATGTTTTTCTTTTTATGACGCAACGCACGAGCTGACAGACGCCGGCCGGGACGACAGCCAAAGTCAGACACTCTAGGTTCCTGGAGCGGTTCTTCGCTCCACCCGCGCGCGGCCTATTCGTCACCACTCGGGACGCCGCCGCGGTTTGAGTGTGTATTTACTTCTTCGCCGCACGTATTTACGCACGAGAGCGCGCAGGCCTCCGATTTATTTTCACGTTTCATAAATAAATTACTTTATAAATTTGTGTCCCGGGTGCGAAAAGACGTCATGCTTGCTCTACTTTTGACGAGATGCTTTTTCCGCAGCCGCCGTTAATATTTATAAGAAAGCTTTGGAGGAAAGAGACCATTTTATGAGCTCTAATCAAAATACTGCGCCTCATTTCATGCTTAAGACTGTTTGGAATGCACGTGAAAAGACTTCAGCGGCTCTTTAGAATTACATTACGAGAACGTTTTAGCTTCAATTTATTCAATATGAAATCTTGATTATTCGATCAATTTATTTTATTGTTTTTTTTTCTTTTTTAAGGTCAATTGAAATAATTTATTTAGTGAAATGAAGTAGTCAAAATTTGGTTGCATGATGTGTAATAAAGCATTTCAGAGATGTAATAATCATCTATAGAACATATTATATTTATACATATAAATTTAAGCAAAATATTTATAATGATTTGTATTTATTCACTAAAATAAATAATTAACCAATTTTCAAGATCTCAACAGACTTGACATATGCGCAATTTACTCTCTAAAGTTCGGATCTTTTCATGGCTCAAATAATTAGAGGGAATATGTGAATTTTTCTCTTTTTGATTTGTTGTAAATTATTACATAATTATGTATTTGTTATTTCCAGGACTTCATCATGGGGAGTTCGGGGAAGAGGATCCACCCGTCAAACATTCACAAGATTCGAGAGTTCGATCTGGAAAAGGTAAAAGGCCCAAATCAAATTAAACTAGAACGCAATTTGATTATTTCAAGTCAAGATATTTTCATGGTACAAAATCTTTTGGCTGGCGGTTACTTTTTGGCTTGGTTGCAAATTAAATGTGGGGGTGACGCACCAGGCAGAGGAGTCGCTACAAAAGATATGGTTGTCTCTAATGATCACAAAGGTGAAATTCGCGATATACTTTGAGCCAGTTGCACCGAGCGGGCGAGACACCTCTGTGTGTGTCGCGGGCCAAAATAGACTCTGGTGTCCGCTGGCGATTCGGTTGCTGCTTTTGCGAGAGTGCGATTGCCACTTTTGTTTACACATACGTGCAGCACGCGGACATTGGGACAAAGACTTTTGGCAACGCTCGACACAATAATTAGCGCGATTTAAACATGCGTCTTTTTGTCTCCTTTTCGACGCGCGGCCACGCCGTTTGATACATTTTAATTGGAGCGTCCTCTCTCTGCGTTTGTTTATTTTTGCAAGCTGAGTCAAACAGAATGTTGAGCAGCAACGCCGTTTCTTGAGATTTCGTGACGAATTTTGGAGCGAAGATTATTCCTAGAAATTAAGAAGACAAAAGAAGTTTGATTAGTCCTGGCCAATTAATCTAGATTTAAGGTTGTAACGTTACAAACAGTTAAAAATTTAAGAATTTTATTGTTACATTTTTTTGGCTTCATTCTGACTTTAATTGTAAAATTTGAATAAATAAATTGGGATTATTAGAATTACGCAATTTATGAAGTTGATTATTATAAACGGAATAAAGGATAAAATTCAAATTAATTATAAAAACTTCATAAAATAATTTTTGTCCATAATTTTTAGTTACTAGATTTGAACTATAAATGATAAACTAAATAATGATCTGGGGTCTGGGGCTCATCATAAAGCAATAATAATAATAAATAAAACTTGTTCATTAACATACATTATACTCAAATTGATAGAAAATTCAATGGCAATGTTAGTGAATTTGCTCTTTTGTTAATATCAATTCCGATCAATTCAATGCTTACATGATTGGTCGCACGAAATAAAAAGTGGCGCCGGCCAAGCTATTCACGCACCGATTTAAACGTGGCAGATTGGAAATCACTGGCCGGCTGCCACAGACCTGTATCTCATCCGCTGAAAACAATTGCCCATTAGATCAAGGTCCCTCAGCCACTTCCCCTTTTATCATCCTCGAAAAGAATCTGCGGGCGGCTGCAAGGAATGTCGAAAACAAATCCTTAGAGTCTATTTCCTCTTCCCTGTTTTATTTAATAAAATTCAACAGCAGTTTTCTTAAATTTTGCCAATACATTTTTTATGGAACTGCCGTGAAAGCGTTCTAGCTCAAAATTATTGTCATTTGATTTAATATAAAATCTAATATAATTAATCTAATTTTTATTCTAAAATTTATTTCAGTCTTGAAGCGCTTAAAAATATCATTTTGAAATTAAATATTGATTTTGTTTACATTAAATCTCAACCTCACATCAATAGTTTCACTCAAATTTTTTAAGTAATATAAATGTTAGAATCATTGAAACAATTGAGTAAAAATCACAACAAAAATTTTAAAAATAGGAAAAAAAACATTTTTGCCATTTTTATTTTGATCTTGCTGTTAATTAATTTCGTTTTTGTCAGTTTGTTTTGTTGCCGAGGTCGAGTTTTTAGCGGCGTGTTTTCGTGGCGCGCCTCCAAGTGAATTTGCGCAACGCGTGTGTGAGGCTTTTCGCTGACTCTCGGCGCCCTTTCTGCCTTTCAGGTGTCCTTGACGGAGCACTACGACATCCTGCAGGTCGTCGGCGAAGGGTGGTTCGCCAAAATTCTACTGGCCGAGCACCGCGTCTCCGGCACTGAGATTGTGCTCAAGGCGCTGCCAAAGGTGCTCAACTCGGCTGCGGACTTTTACAGGGAATTCCACTACAGCATCCACCTGAGCGTGCAGAGAAACATCATCACCAGCGTCGACGTCGCCTTTGAGACGCCTGGCTTCTACGTTTTTGCTCAGGTTGATAACAAATTTCACAAATTTAAAAAAATAATAATAATTGGCTATAAATGTGTATTTGTGAGTTATAAAAAGTTAAAACAATATCAGAAAAATATTTAGTGTCCCAATAAAATTAAATTGGAATTTAAATAATAAAAATCAATGAACCAAACCATTGACTTTATTTATTTAAATCTTAATCTAAATCTAAACTTTATATTCAAATTTTATTTTTGGAAGTTTGAAAATGTTCAATTTGAAATTTTTTTAATTTGTTAACCCATCCATCACGCATAACGGGAAATTGAACCGCTTTTTTGTACAGGAGCACGCGCCACTGGGCGATTTAGCTGCCAACGTTTCAGACAATGGCGGCATTGGTGAGGCGCAGGCCAAGAGGGTTGGCCGCCAGTTGGCCTCGGCTCTCGACTTCATGCACTCCAGAGACTTGGTGCACCGCGACTTAAGACTGGATAACATTCTCGTCTTCAGATCTGACTTCGCCAGGGTGAAGATCTGCGACTTTGGAGAGACTAGGAGATCAGGTCAGTCGAACTCATTGTCAGAGATGGGCAAATCACACTATTCAAGCGGATTGGATAATTTGTTGCATTTTTTCCACAATTTTGTTAATTAAATGGATTCTTTAAATCAGGAGCAAAAATTTCAAATTAGATAAAATGCATAAAATGATATAAATAATTAAAAATCAATTTACTAATAAAGCGAATTAAAAAAAAACTCAATAATTCAAAATTAAGTAGAAATAACTTTTCTCATTAAAATTTTTACAATTGTAAATATTAATATTGTAAAGTTTTAATAAAATTTACAGGGTCTGTGGTATTTCGGCGGAAGAACATTGAGTGGCTGCCGTACGCCCCACCAGAAGTTCTTCTAACCGATTCCGACTCTGCTTACAAAGCCGAGCCGTGCAACGACGCCTGGCAATTCGGCATCGTGCTGTTCGTCTGCCTCACCGGTTGCCTACCCTGGCAGAAGGCCTCCAAAACAGACGACCTCCGTTTTTCTCGCTACGTTATGTGGCATGAAAAGGCCTCGGCCGGCGGTGCGACGGGCCTGCTCGCCGCCGCCCTGGTGTCTCCGCGGCGCCGACCAAAGTTGTTCAAATTGCTGACCTCGAGGGGGCAGCGGATGTTCCGCAAACTGTTGGAACCCAAGGCTGAGAAAAGAGGGCTGCTCACTTGCAACGCCACCCCTGGCGGACTCAGTGGAGAACTGGCAAAGTTCCTTGACGACCGGTGGCTGGTCAAGGTAGGTCGAAATTTTATTTAAAGTTTTAAGTGGAATTACTTGTTCCATCCAAATCCAAATGTTAAATTTTAGAAGGGTTTTGTAAAGATAATGTTTTATAAAAAAATCTTTCATTTTTGAAATTTTTATTTATAATCTTTTTTTCATAAATTACATGATGCATAACAAGTTTAGTTTCAGAAATTTGTTTATTGGGTTCAAAAAAACTGAAGTTTACGATCTATTTTTTAGTTAAAAATTTAAGCAAACACATCCAAAATAAACAAGTAAATTAAATACAAACATTTTGAACAAAATAACTCATATATAAACCTATTCTACACCAAATGTTTTCATATATATTTTTTATATTAAATAAATAAAGTGTTTAATTTTGCGTGTTTTTTTTAATTTGAAATTTCTTACAAACTTTTTCCAAACAAAAACACAATTTTTCTCAGGTTTCTGAGAATGAAGTGGTGTCTGACAAAGACAAGGCGGCCGAGTTGTGTCCCTCCATGTACAGCTACCACAGCAGTCCCGAAGAGAAAAACAAATTGTTGGCCACCCTGACGCAGTACGGCGTGGAGACGACTGTGGACCGCGGTGGCAAGAAGGACCGCATTCGCCAGTGGGTGCAGAGCAGCGCCATCCAGGAGGACGAAGAGGAGGAGGAGGAGGAACTGGACGACTTCGGTTCGCAGGACTACCCTGACGAGGAAGAGGACGGCGAGCCGTACGAGGGCAGGGAACGCAGACAATCCTCTTCAGGCACCGCTGCTAGTAAGTGACATGCAAATTTTCCAATCGGGACTATTGACAAATAGACAGGCGATTGAACTTCAAGTGATTAATTTTTTCTTTCTTTAAAAATGTGAATTTCTCTCATGCTATTTTATTGATTATTCCCTTAATGTGTAATTTCGCTGAAGCACTGAAAATTTGATTTTCCTACAAAATCTCATCAGCTGCAGATGGACGTTTTAAGCGTGATAAAAATTGCGAGTTGCTCAGAACGTCAAAAAATGTCCTCTTAATTCCTTCAAACGTTCGGGCGCCAGCTTTTTTTCTAAATATGACCCCAGATGACCTTTAAATTTACTTATATGATTTATAATCTGATGATTTTTAAGCAATAAAAAAAGAATTGAAAATTCTTTTGTGCACAACTTAAGTTTATTTTAATTTTACCCATACAAGCATATTATTATTTACTTAATTCATTAACAAATATTACACATTTTCATAATTCTGGAAGAAATTATTATAATTTGAACAATCAGGGGTTTATTATCATACATTATATTTTGGTCCCTATAGTTAATAATAAAATAAAATTTCCAATGTAAAGTTATTTCCATTCGTCAGAAATGGTTGACCCGCAATCTGATTGCGAAATTCTTGCCCTTCGTAGCGCTAAAGAGGCGCTCAACTGCTCAAAGATCTCTTCTCTTTGCGGAGCTTCTTGTTCCAGGATCAAAGGCTGAAGTTTTCGCTTCTGCGCCTGCAAATCTTCTGCAGTCAACTTGAAAAACGCCGGCATTTGCGGGACAGTCGCTATTTCAGGAGCCAATTTCTAAATTTAAAAAGGCCATTTTATTCAACAAATCTCTTTTGTCATTTTTTAGACCTTTTGCGGCTGATCAGTTTGGCTGCTAACTGAAGTTCCAATCAAAGATAAAATATCTGCCAATCTGAGGGCACAACCTGCAGCCTCTTTCAATAGAAGTGTCTCCGGAAGTGGAGCTGGTGAGGGAAAATTTGTACGTTTTCGCTCTTCCGTGGACGACCTTTTGGTCATGGAATCCAGACTGGCGCTCAATTGTTGCAAAACGAGCCAAGTTTGTCTTGTGCAAGACTGCTGATTTTCCAAAAGCTCAAGAACCTGGCAAAAAACGTAATATAAAAATTAACTTAAAAAAAAAATAACTTTTATAATTTACCTTTCCTTGCATTGTGAATAGTTTTTCTGTGGTTGTATCTGATTCTGAATCAATATCCAGATACTCAATTTTTTCGTCCAATTCGTCAATTTCACTTCTCCGAGCCAAAGTCTTTCCTTTGTCAATTAAAATTTCGTCAGCATCTGCTTCATGTGGAAAATTTGTCAATTTCTCTTCCAGAACCCGGGCAGGTACGGGAAAGCTGAATTTTTTATCAAATCGGCATTCTTTTTTCTTTAAAAGCGGCGGCTCTTCTGATTTGATTGACTCACTGGCGGAGTCGTCTTCAAAGGATGAAACGTCGCCTGCGCTGGACGCAGAAATTGAACACATGGAATTCAGGGTCACGGACGACCTTTCGCTGCCCTTTGAACTGATACTTTTGACTTTTTCTAAATGCGACTCGTCGTCAGATGGCGGCTTCTGGTCGCTTCCGAACGACCAGGCATTTTGCAAAGACTGAATGAAATATATTTGACAAAAATTAATGAGAATATATAATTAATTTTAGCTTTGGGTAGGACCTTTCTTTTATTAGACGTCCAGGGTCGTTCACCCTTCTTTTCGCACCTCTCATTAAATTTTCTCGCACTCGCCCTCGCGTTAGTGCTTGGCGCCGACTTGAGTGCCCTTCGCTTTTCTGTCAGCGCCGCATTGTTGTGTGAAGTGGTGCTGCGTGAGCGAGGCGCCGGCAGGCCTACTATCGACAGCTCAAAAGTTGCGCTTGAAGTGTCACTCTTTAATTTAAAAAAAACAACTCTAGAGCTATTGTAATCTTCAAAAATAGATCAAGAAACTTCTGTCAATATAATTAACAAACTATAACCCACTATAACCAAGATGAATAATGACTTGAAAAAAGTAACAACACTACTGCGTTTTACTAAAAAAAGTTTGTGTACGTTTTCTTTGAACGTAAAATTTTGACAAAAATGTTTTTATTGCAAATGGGTGCTTTTAATTTTTCAAGCTTGTTAAAATGATGCAGTATATTTGCAAAAGGTGGTGTTTCCTGAGTCACGCAATGTACCTTGTTGCTGCTTGTGCTGGTCGGCGTGGAGGACTTTGGGAACCGGCTCGACGTGCTAAATCTTCCAGGCGCCATATTTTAGGCTGGATATCTGTGTATTTCGGGCTCTTCATGCGTGAAGTATAGTGAACCCTGTGGTATTAATTTTGGTAATTTGTTTATTTTCACCCCTCGCGTGGCTTGTAAAGCTACGCATGGTTGCGTAGCAACTCCCAGGTGTGCAACTTGCTCAAGTCCTGCTATTGAAAAAAAATCTACCGCGTGCCGCTTTGCTAAATTCATTATTTTACACCAGTGACGCTTCATTTGCCTTTATAGAATACATTTTTAGAAGATAAAATTTTCTATAAAAATTTATTGGCATGAAAATTTTGTTTTCTATGTAATTCATTGCTGGGTAAACAATATTTTGCATCGTTCTTTTAGATTTATGCAATCTGCATTAAGTAAAACATTTTATAGCCGCTTGTGCAGCATATTTTTGGAAGAAAAGTAAGAAATAAATTTTTTTTTAACAAAGAGACTAATTTGGCATGGATAGAAATTTTATTACATTCATTATGTATAACTTTGGTTCAAACAAGGCAGCTGATTTTATCTGAAACATTATTTTCAAACTAAATAATTCATCAACAACCAGCTAATCGCATCTGTTTTGAAATCAACAGTGTTTAACTCCGTTTCTACAGCACATTAATTTATGTTCAAAATTAAAACGCTCTGCACGTTTTGTTTTGTACAACAAGCTTGGAGTATTTTCGTGTTTCAATCCAGTACAAAAGATTTCTATCAAGTGGGCTACCGAAAAAGACTGAGGTCAGACAAATGCAACTTCCTTGCCTACGGAATTTAGTGTAAAAATGACAGATCATGAAATTTTCAATTTCTACAGCATGTATACGTGTTAAACCAAACACTGAACAAAAATTAAGGCGGAAAGATATATGTTGGGGATAAAATTAGAATTGTTTTCAAACAAAGAGAATATAAAGAATTAATTAAACAACAACGAAATCAATAATAAATGAATGCGTTCCTCCGTAAAAATAAACAACTATGACAATGATACAATAGAATATATTCAGTAATTATACACAACATGTATATGCCAAGTGGATAAAATACACAATCTAGATATATTTTACCTCAAGTGTGTGTGTGTGTTTCTATGTGTGTGTGTGTGATACTACTTCAATCAACATACCTATTATTATTATTATTATTAATGATGTACGCGCGCGTGTGTGTGTCCGATATAATTATGTTCACTTTCCAGCCCCAGAATAATTATAATTACGTCTTAATCAATTATATAACAATGCGCAGGTTAAATATAGATTTCAACTATGTTCTACCATAGTTATGCTCTATCTGTGTGTTTATGTGTGTGTGTGTGTGTCTTGGTAAAATATCATTCAATACATGATACATTTACTTAGTATATATCAGCTAGAGATGATCTCACGATTCATTCGTCTTCAATATACTCGGAATTTTGAGGATTATAAGCTATTTGTTAAGCTTTTTTTTAAATAGATTTCAAATTTAAGGGGAAAGTAGGGCGTGTTTGGGCCAATTTTCCATTTGGCCAAATAAGACTTCTTTGATTGTGACGGAGTTTTTTCGATTAAATTAATTCACAGCTTTTGCACGCCCCATCTCTGAGAAAGGATCCAAAATTTTCTGACGATTTACAGACGGTTAATATGGCTAGACAGTCTTTTAAAACGCATTCTCTTCCACTACCCATAGTGAAGTTCTATTAAAATTACTCGCAGGATGGTGTTGAGTTCTATATAAGTGTGTGTATATATTTATTTCTCTCTAACCCAGAAAATTAATTGATTACAAGTCTAATTTAGTTATTAGTATGCTCTCCCTTTCGCTCAGAAATATTATATTTATCCGCGATTCAACTGTTAGTGATAACGTAATCATATTCTGGCTCAGTCTTGTTGTTATTTTATTTTGCGATTAATCAACAACTATTAAAAGAAAGGAACCATTGCCCCAGCAAATGATCGACAGGGTTTTAAGCAGTGCGCTCTATGAATTCAGTGTGTGATGCCCATGTACAAAAAAAAAAAAATACATGAAGCTACCTATTTTTACTTTTGTGTACTTTGTTTGCTGCGTTATGCTAATCATCATGTCCAAATCAAATAAGGGCGATAAGTGGGACCAAAATGTTAATTAATCATATACCCTCTCTGTTGGGAACAAGATTGGCACAAAGGAAAGGATTGATGAAAATTTAAATAACATTATGCAAAGTTAACAATAAAAGCATAAAATATATGACCAATTAATTCAAAGTAAAGCATCACAAAATCATCATATACCCATATAGTGACGACAAGAGTATGCACAAAAATGACCAATGAGGATGAGATGAGAAAGTAAGTATGAAAATTTGCACTTCGAGTCCAAAACCCACCAAATCCAATGTATCTCTTCTAAAGAGAATCAATTTTTATGCGAGCAGTTTTCCGTAAACGTTAGATTTTAGGTGCTCATGAGTCTTACTCTCTAACACACATGATTACACAATATCAGTCCTATGGACCAAAATTGATTTTATAATCACTTGAATCTCTCTACCAACTACACTCAAATTACACAAATATTATACTCTGTTTTGCAATGGATGATATTGGTTAATTTGTCGACCGTATGTTCAACGTCAAGCTTGCTCAAAAGAAGCTTAAAAGCTACCTGGCTGCTTCTCGGCCTCAAAAGCGATCACATACCAAAGTCCATTTACGAAGAAAATATTTTTGGGCTAATTTGGCCCAAAATGAACTTCTCGATCGCAAATCTACTCCGAAGAAACACTGCACTGCGATTAAATAATAATTTTTTTGTCAAATATCCGGCCAAGTCGAAAGCAAACAAACAGAAGTAGTATTGTGAATCAGTCTCTCAATGAATCAGGTCAGCGATGGCACGCTTCAAGCATCTCCACAAACAGCTTATTCATCGGCACCTTAGCATCGTGGCGCACGTCCGACCAGAACCGCCTTATGATGAAGTCTGCTTGGCGAAGTGCGGGTAGACTCAACAACAGCTGCTGAACGTGGTAGGCTGATGTGTTGGGCCTGGAATTAGATACATTTTTTTAATAGAGTTCTTAATTTTATGAAAGCTCTAACAGTCTAACTTAATAATTTTTGTAATTGGAATGAAAGGATATAATAATTAAAAATGCAAAAGATTGAAATATTTAAGTTAAATGTAAGGTTAATTTAAATAATTTCAAACCTTTTAAACTAAATAAACATCTATCAAGACCATTCATGTTAGATTTTTATTCAATTTTTAAACTGGCAGTCAAATTATAAATTTTCAAATTAAAAAAAGTACCTGAGCACAGAAACGCAGTCAGTAAGAGAAGATAGAACGCTGTCTCTCAACTGCTTGAGAGGAATGTACTCGTCCACATTAACATCAGAGTTGACGAGGACAAGAGCTTTCAGCAGAAGGTATTCTTCCCTTGCCAAAGACAATCGGCTAAACCTCGACAAAATTTGAATGCACTGAAAGTAAAATTGACTTAAAAATAGTGATATATAAAGTAATTTGATTTACTTACATGCTGATAAATTTCGCTTGCTCCACTATCACGAGCCAACTTCTCGTCCAGCCAAAAGTCAGAGGCGAACCTCAATTTGCCACTGCTACCACCACTGCCTGTTGACATTTGCAGTGACCTGAACACAAGCGTGAGGGTCAGGATTTCTGCCCATGTGCTCTGCAGCAGCCTCATTTGGTCGTTGAGTGACAAATCCATGAAACCTGAAATAAAGATCATTATTTTGTGGGGAAATATGAATTCAAAGTATTGTTACCTGGAATCTGCTTGGCCCAAGTGATAATTCCAACAAGCTCCCTGTCATACAGGTCGCTCAGGATGGTGATGGTCTGATACTCGTTGTCCACACTGTGGCACTGCTCCGGACCCACCTGCAGAATCTCAGGCTCGCAATTGCTCAGCACCTCTAGCATTTTGTTTTCTGGAAATTGATCAAAAAATCAAATGATTAAAAGCCGAGTTTTAAATAAAAATGGGATAAAATGTACCTTCAAGTGACGGTTTTGCGACAGGAACAGAAACATGTTGCATCTGGTAGGGCATCTCTGGATTGCGACGGTACTTTTGGCGACCTCCACGTACCCTATCAAGACGAACGCCTTCCTTCAGCATCCCCATGCGGAGACACTTTTGGAATCGACATGCCTGGCAAGCTTTCCGCCTCCTCTTGTTGATTTCACAATCATTTGCAGCAGGGCAAGTATACTCTATATTTCCTGGATTTTTTTTTTTTGCTAAATTAGAAATCATTGCAAATTTCTTGAAGAAAGTACCTTGAATTGTCCGTTTAAAAAATGCTTTGCAGGCCTCGCATGATGCAACTCCGTAGTGGAAGCCAGACGCCGTGTCGCCGCAAACTAAACACAATCTGCGCGGGGAGTCATCCTCTTTCATGCTTTCCTGTGAGCAGGGATGTCTTGGTTTTTGAAAAGTTCCAAACTTTGAAAGAGAAAATCTTTGAAATATTTTCAGCCTTGATTCGGTTCTGTGACTTTTGGCGCCAACAAATAGAAACCCACTCACCATCATTCTTTTGACAATTTCAGAGATGAGATTAAATTTTTAACAAACGAGTATGAAACTGGTAGGAAGAATTAAAAAATGAAAAAATGTCGTTTTTGAGAAATAGTCTGTTGGTATCTTCAATACCTCAAAAGGAGTAAAAAAAGCGTTCCAAAAATATGCCGGAATCCGGAGCAAAGTCAAGTCGGTGTTTGCGTGACCAGCGAGTCGTTTGCAATGACTCACAACTTGCTCTGGCCATTTCAATTTCAATTGTTGATGGCCAAAAATCATAAAGTGTAATGAGACGCAGCCGTCGCTCCTCCCACACGTCAAATTACTTTCGCACCTCTGAATAATTGCGTTTTCCATCCCCGCCGACGACGCTTTGTTTACTAATCGCAGTCAATAAGAAGAAGCTTCCAGAGTGTTTTTTTGATTCTCAAGAAATTGACATTGGAGATTGAGGTCGGAGCAAATTTATTAGCAAAATTTGCATGCCAATACATTGAAACAAACTTATTCTCTCTTGTTTAACACGCAGAATCTGTTACCGCGAACAAAAGCCAAAAACGCTCATACGTTTGGTGTCAAGGCTGAATGAGATATTATTACATAAATTTCATTTTGTGAATAATTACAGAAAACCTCATCACTGAATGATTATAGTTTATATCTAGGTGAGAGTAAGGAATTAATTACGATAAAACGGTTGAATATTTTGCTTATCAAAAACATTGCAGTATATTCATAATTTTTCCAGAAATACAGGGAATATTTTGCATTTAAAAAGCTTTTACTATAATTAGCTTGCAGAAAAATATTTTTTCTAATTAAAAAAAAAAAATACTAGTATACCTCTGTCCTGATCATTGAGTCTCCATTGGATTGGGTTGTACTCGAGCAGAATTGCCGGTCTGGGCTGCCAGGAGAAGTGGCTGCGCCATCCACAAAAGCAAATTTTAAGCATTTTGGTGATCTGGGCGTTCCTTGGCTGTCACTGCAAATTTCCATCTGTAAACAAAGAGCCGAAAAATGAAAACGCGCGCATAAATCAGGTCAAAAATATGTTTGTTTCAAATTTGGCGAGGTCTATTTTCATTTGATTGCAATTCAAATCAGACCCCCACTAACTCGCGGTTTTTGTCACTGGTCCAAGACGAGAAAACGCACAAATCAGCCGCGGCTTTTCGTGTCCCGAAAAACAAAATTAAGGCGGCGATATGCATAAGAAGAAGAGAGAAGAAGAAGAAGGGCTCTCGAAAGGTGTGCGATTTGCATTCGGCATAATGACTTGGCCAAGTGATGCAGATGCAAATTTCCAGAGGATCATCCGTCACCTGCCGCGCCACCCCCGCCGGCCCCATTCTCGAAAAATGAATGATGCAAAAATGTTAATATTGTGTCCTCTGCGCAACAACAAAGGTCAACATTTATTACGAAAAGACTTTGTTCTTTCTTCCTAACGCCAAATCTTCTGTTTTGCGGCTAATTAGTAAAGTCTGATTCGCCGCTGGTTAATTTTTCCGGCGGGCTGCGGCGTAAGTGCCTTGCGGCCGGAACGCACCGCGCCGCTTGCAGTCGGCGAGTGTCGCGTGACCACTCAGCCCCAGACGTCGACACGTGACGCTCCAAGATCAGCCGCAGCGTGACTCGCGGAAGTCAAGTGCTCTGGGCACAACCAAAGTCAGCCAAGCACGTTCGTTCAAATTTCCAATGTTCGCAGGAAGAAATTGGGAAGAAAGTAAAGAAAAACAATTATTCTCAGTGAAATCAAATAACGCATTTTATTTTATTTTTTAAATTAGGGAGAAAAATAATTGGAAGGAGGTATTGCAACTATTGAAAGAAAAATAGTCTAATGCAAGAGAGATTGGAGTGAATAATATCAAAATTTGTCATAAACGCCAACATGAAGTTCTACCTGGGGTCACTTAGAAATATAACGATGAAATTCTCTTTTATAAATCTGGATATAAAAATAACAAATAGAAACCCCTTTTCAGATTAATATATCTCATTATGAATTACCTAGAAGAAGAAAATACTTATTTTAAGTCACTATCAAAATCATGAAGATAGAAATTTGTAGTCAAAAGTATTAAATTTAAAAATAATAAATCAGACTCAAATTTTTGTATTTTCCACAATTCAATCAGCTGAACCAACAAATTCACAATCAGAAAGACATAAACTCTCTTTGAAATGATGAAAATATTTCATCCCATTTAATAAAAGCTTATTTGCATATAATATATCCAACGTTTTGCCGAGGAGAAATTCAATCTCATTGCGACTTCAAAGCTCTGCAATCTCCGAAAGCAAGGAGAAAAAGGCCTTTGTGATCCCTTAAGCCGGAAAGAAGCTTTGCGCGAGACGCGCAAAAAACGCCGCCGCGAGTCCTGCTGCTTCTGCTCAAGTGAAAATCGTTCACTAGCGTCTGAGGCGTTTTGCTTTGATTTATTTTCAAGCGTAAAAATTTTATTTAATTTAGTTCAAACTTTAATTTTCTTAATCATGTATTTTTTATTTTTAAATTTCAAGTGATTCTGGAAAGATTCTGAGCCGTTCAAGTAGCGGATAGTGCGTTTTATCGAGAGGTCACCGATGCAAATTTATGAGAAAATGTTGATCCAGCACAGCCAGCACAGGCGACATTATTCCACAAACATCAAAACTTCTTCGTCTCAGCCAAGGTTAGCCGTATTTTGACTTGGAAATCGGTTGGGCAAGCAAAGGTTTTTCAGGCGGGCAGCAGCCATAAGGTGCTTCTCTGCTGAATTATTTACCACCGAGTGAAAGCAAAATACAGGGGGGACGCCAAAAACAACAGGCACGTAGGTCGAATTAGCGAAATCAAACTTTTTGTTTTTGTTGTGGACCAAAATAAACGGAGAGTGAGAGAAAAGTGAAAAGGGTCGCATTATATTTAGAATTGCAAAACAGCGAAATTGTCAGAAGTCGTCGGTTTTCTAGTGACATCAAATGATGCATGTAATTCGACACGTCTCTCACTTTTTTGTTCACATAATCAATTCTTCAACTGGTAAATATGGAGGAAGGAATTTTAACTCGTCTAAAATTAGGTCGTGTTTTACATGTCGCATATTTTAAACGAGAGCAGCTTTACAACTATTCAATAAAATTCAATTTATTTGTGAAAGTAAAATTAATCCAAAAGTATTATAAAATTGAAATAATATTTGATTTGCATGATATTTTTTGCGCCGTAATTTTAAACCTAGATAGATATCTTTAGTTGTGGAAAGGATAATTTGCTCAAAACATGTTGCATAATTATGATAATTATGAAATGTTTAAAATATCCTTTCATGCAAAACTGCGTGCGCATAATTTTATTGAAAATTACTTTTATCAATATTAATTACCGTTGTGCTAGGGGAGTAAACGTTGCTATTGGATGGCGAGCAAGGCTGGAAATTCGCATGGTCTGCTTCCTCCTTTTTAATGTTCAGGGTGTCTCCTTCGTCAGTGCTGCCGGACATCATGCTGACCTGCCAATCAAAACAAACAGAGAATTCATTAATCATATTCGTCGCAAGTGATCGGGCAGAATACTCGACAACCGCGTTTAGTCAAAATGATTGATAATTATTTCGGCTCGGCTTAGATAGAAATTTTCGGATGACGCAAGTCGGCTCTTGAGGGGTGGCAGATGTGCGCGGACGAAAAGAGATTTTCTCACGGAGCGAATTCGCGAGCAAGAGCAACTTATGCAACCAATCGCGCGTGAGCGTCAAGCAGATTGCATAAAGTTGTGGACGTCAATGGATAAATTATGCATCAGTCTGTCTGTCGCAGTTCATAAATCAGGCGGACGAGCAGCCGCCGTCGCATCATTTCAAAACCAAAACTTGATCGCAGTCTCCCGTTTAAAGCGTTTTACATAAATTAAATGAGTGCTGACCTTTTGCTGATATTGGAATTTTCACATAAAATTAAGTAACTAGGATGGACGAAAATTGCAATATTTGGCAATATTTTCTTTCCAAGGACCGAATTTAATTTAAAATTTGTTCAAAACAAACATCAAAAATTTTTTTCATTCATTGAATATTAAATTTTGAATAACTTAGCAACTCACCACTCATCCCCTTCCTGAATTACTTACTCTTCCAACAAGCGCAAAAAGAACGGAGCCTCTTACTGCCTCACCAATTTTTTAGTCCACACAAGACTGATGCAAAATGTTATCTTGGACAATATCTCACACGTTACTTAACTTGAAATAAAATTAAATTTGAGTGACATAAGTTATTTCAATATATAAGAGGTTAGATGAAAAACAACGCTCGTGTTCAAAATTTTCTTATTTGCATATGGCTGTGCGATAACTTGATTTAATTTTCTTAAATTATCCACGATGTATTCAAACGAGATGAAATAATCGAAAGATGCGTTTTAAATCAGATAGAAATAGAATCAACTTAGTTTCAACATGTGGTTTTTCTATAGTGCAGATTATTCTATTTTGAAATTTTGTTGAGAGGTTTTTAATGAATTCACGTTCCAGCTACTTTATTTAGCAAGAAACTTCTGATATGCAGATTTAGCAAAATTTGTTGAAAATTTTCGCGAAAGGGCCCAAACGGATCTATTCGGAGATTGTGGCTTGCTCTGGCGCTGATTAACATGGAGAGAAGATGAGCCGGTCGGTGAATGTGACGTGCATGCAATGTAATGTTGTAGGGCCGTGCGTGATGATAAAGAAGGGGGTCGGGGGCCCAGAGGGAGTCAAGGCCACCTCCTCTGCCAGCAGCAGCACATAGACTTGCGCAAGTCTTGCCTATTGCCAGCACCAAAGTGAGAAAAGCGAAGAAAGAAAGAGCCGGACTATAAGCGCCCGCCCAGCAACTCTTTTGCAAATAACGTACCAGCGCACGCTCTCTTCGCGATCATCCATCATATTTGTCCTACCTTCTTTTTATTCTCTGACAACCCTTTCGTTAGCTGGCGTTTGTTTCGCCGGTTTGTCCCTTTGAGCGTGCCGAATGACGCACTTTCTACTTGATATGCATGAAAAAAATTGCAAATCTCTCTCCATTGCTATATTTACCACACCCGGTGACGTTTTTCAAGTTCAGGAATATGACACGATATTTTCTTACACTAATTTTTTCGCTTTAATCCCGCTGTACAATAATTTACCAAGAGACAAAAAAAAAGAGCCAAAACTTTTCCGTGTACAATAGGGAAAATTGTTTGTTTATGAGTCTCTCACTTTATCACAGCAGCTGGAAATCCCAGACAAAGATTCTCACCTTCAAGTTTGCTAGGCTGAATATTAAGTTCCAAATTTTTATTCCACGCCTGTCTATCACCATCAATCAACGCCCTGGCCCTGCCTCGTCCTTTCATTTGTGAGCAAAAGAAGAAGAGACTTTTGCAAAAGCAGCATGATCAGCAATAGCAAGTCTTATTCTTTCCTTTCGGTTTTTGTAAAGTTAAACCGACATTTAATTGCAATCAACAAACCAAAATGAATTTTCCCTGCTGCAAATTTTCCGACAGCCGAAATTGAATAATAATTTGTGCAAACAAAAGACCCAAAAGGTTGCGATTGCGAAACTTTGCAAAAGTCAAGCTGCAAAGAGTCTGGAAGTGATCACATGTGTGTGTGTGGCAATGGAAGTATAACAATATACTAATCAAACGGTCGCATTACATAAACCGACTGACTGACATGCAAAGCGAACATGCACACATATAATATACACACTCGCTCGCGCTGCCTCGCTGGGCTCGCGAGCCGCGGTATTATATTATAAGTTGGCAAGGACGAAGGGGGGCGTAACCAGCGCAGAATAAATCGAATCGCTCCGTGTTATGGTCAAGGCCAAATGTTCGCGAACACCATCCTCGTCAGCGCGATCTCTTCTTCCCATCCGTTTTCCTCCTTAAGCCTTTTCAGACTAATGCACATTTGCATACGATCAATGCACATTATTTGTCTCGTTGAAAAGCGAGATGCAGTGCTGTGTAATTATCATAATTATGCGGGGATTATCTTAAACATGTTGAGTGAGAGAGAGTGGAGCAATAAAAAGTTCCATTTCGCTGGACCTGATGAACTCAAACAAAAGGCCACCAATGCCGCAGATTATCAACTAATATAATTATTATCCAAGCCTTGCGTTACAAAATTATATGCATTATTTTATTCAGGATCTTATAAAAAAACTTTGTTTCCTGCCAAAAACTCGTTAATTAAAGCGGAGCTTTAGGATAATAGTTGCAAATTAAGTTTATAGGTGTACCGTGTACCAAAACACAATCTATACCCATAGAAATAATTTATTCATAAATAACTAAAAACACATATTTCTAAAAGAAGAGAGTAAAAAGAATGTTTACTTAAATTATTTTTGGGGAGGCTTAAACATTTTAACAATTTCTTAATTCACAATATAAAAGTTAGATCTCTGGCCTTAGATACTGAACAGAAGGAAATAAAATTAAAAACTTCACCTGATATTTTGGTTTTAACCATTTGTACCTTACTGGGAAAACTCTCCAAAAATTAATCACTTCTTAATTAAAAACACATTAAAAGTAAGAGCATAATAAAAATTGAAAACTATGAAGTGAAAAAGCTAGCATAAATCTATAATATAACTTTTTCAAAAAATCATCTGTCACCAATAGAGACAGTCAGAAATAATTTAATCTTGGATCTTTCTTTTACTTAATTTCAAAATAATTTGTAAAAATATTAACACTAGCAAAAATATGTATACAATTTAAGGAGAAGTGAGAGATAAACGTTAACCACTGAAAAAACACGCAATTAAACAAAAATAAATTTATAATTTGTTTATGATTACAAGACTTCATTATTTAAAAATTTTAAAATTAGAAATAAAATAATAACATATGAAAATATCAAATGATGCACACCAATTTTATGTTTTGGAAGATTTGGGTTTTTTAAAGATCGTCATAGTTTTGTGGTAGAATTTTCATGATCGAGGGTTGATTCATGGTGGTTTGAATTTAAAATCGGCTTTCTCAACCACCGCCGAGAAAGCTCATGAATTATGGCTGCAGCCCGCAGCCAAAACATGTAGAGCAGGATATTGTTTTTCTGAAACACTAATTTAATAAACAACTTACAAAAACCCACCGAGGAAAAGACGATTTTTAATTCAAATCACCATCTTCATGGTTAATTAAATAATTGTAGAAAGCATTATAATAATAAAACAAAAATCAGGCTATCTCTTCCGTAAGAATTGTAAGTTCTTCAAATAAGATATTAAAGTAAAAAACGGTAATTTATTACTATTCTCGTCTTTAGAAAACACTGCGGTTTTCAAAATTTCCAGGACGATCATAAAGATTGCCAAATCGAAGGGAAACGACCGGAGTGTGCAATTTGGTGGTGCAAACTGACGGCGTGTTGGTTGGCGGCTGGGCGAGCTATCGATTGGTTCCGAGACCATAATAATGGAGGCCCCGAAATAGCTCGCAGCCGTCGAGAAAATAAATTTATGCGTGCGATCAGGCAGCGAGAATGCAGTTGGCCGCGGTCCGGTCGTGGGCAGCTGGGCTAGTGCAGCGGCAATTATTGGGTTTCGACACAGACAACAGGCCCATTGTCTTGCTCTTTCTTTCTGCGTGGTGGCTCTGCCGCAGCAGCCCTTGATTAACATCCTTGCTGATTCACTCGGCGCTTATTTCTACGTGGTGTGCACTTAATACTTTGAACAAACACAAGGCTCGTTGCATAATAACTGCTTGCCAAGTAATCGCGTCGCGAATTCAATAAAAACCAAGCGCAGACCAAAATTGCGCAAGCCGAAATAAAATTGTCGGCTGTGAAATTCGCTAATTAATTCAGTTTGATATTTTTTCTTAAAAATTATTTGTTATATTATTTTTGATTTGTTGATAACAGACTTGGATAAAAAAAGTTAAAAAATGTATTCGTTTAATTTTAAAGTTTCAAAATTTTTAAAGATTTTTTTTAAAAAGTGCAATGTATTTAGTGCGTGTTTAAAATGATTTGAAATAGCGTTCCAGCGGTGAGCATTTCAAGGGCGCTCATCAAAAACCAAAATTGATGTGCTTGCTAGGTACCAACTTCCGTTGACGTACTACAGTACCAAACTAAAATTTGGAATTTCCCAGCTCAGATTCTGCGCTGATATCCACAGAAAATTTATTCAAAATTTACAAAAAAAAAAATGGAATTCAAGGGAAAATATTGGCAATAAAAAATAAATAAAAAAGCGACAGTAATTACCGGTAATTACATTACGGAAAAAATATTAATGATTTTCTTGGTATTTATTTTGTAAATTAAATAATAATTTAAAATAACCATCAAAATATTCATTCAAGAGATCAATTTATATTCCACTTAATTTCAAATTACATCTCCTTTTGTAGCAAAGAATGAGCACCATAATGCAATTTAACATTTCAATTTTCGCACAAACATGACGGTGCAATTTACTTTTGCGCAAGAGCCCGTTGCTGAATCAAAAACCCATTTGCGCACTGGAGGAAAATGATTGCTGAATCGATCACAGACAAATTCCCTTTCTTCGGCTGCATTTGGGCTTACGAAAAGTTTGATTTCGAAAGAGACGGAGCAGATAAGGACGGATTTCCAGCAGGGATTTTCCTCCTTGGGCCTGCTTAACAAAGAGCAACCTATCCCATTTGGTAAGTGCGGCAGCCTTGAACTTGACACGCCTCCCTGGCGACTCTGTCAAGGCCACTCTACTATTTTCCTGCCGCCGCGCCGCTAAATTTAATATTATTTACCAAATCGGTGGGCGACATGCGAGGCGAACACAAAATTAAATTCATGAATACAACGCTTTGAACCCACCAAAAAAAAAAGGGAAATTAGAGTGACCCAAAACAACAAGATAGATTCATGCCAAAGCTTGAAAGCAATTAGCCTTGAACTTTTAATTGCCGATATTGAATAATGATATTATTATTAGTTTCAAAATAAGCAGAATACGGCAAATGACAGGCCAAAATGTTTGCATGGAGTGTTTCTTTAATAAAAAAAAATTAATATTCAACCCTTGTTTGCTTACGAACTTCCTACAAGAGGATCTATAATAATGAAAATTCGACTGCTCTGTGACATAATTTACAAAAATATCAATAATTTTCTCGACCAAATTGATAAGACAAAACAAATGTAGTTCCTTTCATTTCTCACAAAATTTATTAAACTCTGCCATTTTGCATCACACAAAAGAAAATGAATTGCAGCACTAATGTTTAGCTTGCTTAACATTTCATATTTTCACTGAAAATTATGAAATTTTCATAAAACCACGCAGGGGTTTATCAAAAAAGTGAGATTGTAAAAAAAAATGCGCGGTGCAATAAAATTTGAGGGAAAAAATTAACGTCACACAGGCTTTGATTAATTTCCCTTGCGTGCAGCGGAATCCGCGCATTCTCAGCAGCGTTTCTCTCGCTCAGACACGCTACCCTTTTTTATTCATTCGCCTCCCTCCACACTTGGTCGCGCGGGTGCATTTGTTAAAACTGCATTTCCTGCTGCGCGCTGCAGTTTTAAGAAAGGGAGAGTGAGTGCATTACATTTTCATTTGATAAGAAAAAAAAACTACTAGCTCATCCGCGCCGGTCCGCGTGTGTGTTGGGGAAAAACTATTAGGAAAAAATGCGTGAGTGTGTGGGATTCATAAAAAAGTGAGACTGCACAATCAAAGCGAGGCTCAGCTGCTGCTCTCCGGCCGGCGGAGCATCAACCAAAACTTTTTTACACCACAATGCACCACGGCAACTCCGCGCTATCATGATTAACAAGTGGCGGGTACAGTTGCGGCAAAAGACCGACTCTCCAGCCAGCCAGCCGACCCACCGCGACTTCTTGCCAGCCTCTTTTCAGCCGCTTTAACTTTATATTTACATTGATTATTTTATTGGGAGGGAGCAGCAGCGGGCCCGATCAAAGTTGAATAAGCACCGACCGCAGTCCCAATCGCCTCATTTTCTCAAAATGGGGAATTTTCTGCCGCGGTTGACAGACAACCGAGCGAGTGAACGAATCGAAAAATTTAGTGTGTATGCGGTTCGACATCGAGGAGAGCCGGTTTTGCTTTCATCTATCTGCAACCAATGATGATTCGAGAGCGCAATCGAGTTGATCACTTAAAAATTATTTCTCATTGCGATTTGATATTATTGAGAGCAGTTCCTTAAAATCATTCTAATTGTAAGAGAATTAATTTATAATTTTAATAAATTTACATGAATATTATTCCAAAATCAATACAAATTTTAATTTCAGAAGTTTGTTTATTTATTTTTATACTTATCTAAATTAAAAAATTTGCGATGCAATTGACATCAGAATTATTATTATTAATTATTATTATTGTTAAAGTTATTTTTTCCAATTTTTTAAATTTGATTTATGAAAACAATTTGTTCGAGAAAAAATTATTATTGGACAAAACATAATTATTTTGAAGCTTTAATACTTGATCACTCCTTCCTAAGAAATGGTAATTTTTAATATTTCACATTGAGGAGTGATCTATATAGATGCTATTTAGTAGGAGACTCAATTTGTATTTCATTTAACTAGGTGATTTAAAATTTAAATATGGAAATAATTAATTGTTAGACAGCAAAGTAAAATTTGCAGGATATTTAAAATTTAAAACTTTATTTGTGCGTTTGCGAACGACTTACTAATCAAGTATAATTATATGCAATGAAAAATTTGCAGACATCCTTTTCTAGATTTTGTTTAGTTATTTAATGCAACTATATTCATTACTTTATTTCATTGTCACAAAAGATTACCAACATCAGATCTCTTGATTGAATTAAATTGCCAAACTCATCTCACTTTCCTCGAAAAATTAGTCAACCGTCAAAATTTCCATAAATGAAAAAAACTCCAGCACTTTTCCTTTTTATGGAAACAGCACCAAGTTTCAAGGTCGGTGGGCCTATTAGTGCACAGCCGTCTCTCTGTCCAGATATAATTAAGACCCGGCGCGCTCATTGTGCTCTCGGAACGAATTTTCAATCTTATCTATTGTATACAAATAATTACGGCGGCAGCAGCAGCAGGCGTGCCTCGAAAAAGTGTATCATGAAGAAGTTCACTTGTCGCGCGGCACCTATTTCCATTTGTATATTATTTATGTTCACGCGCAAACAGACTGGGCAAATAGAACTTGTCAACTTTTCATTCGGAGCGTGTGTACTTTTACACACGACTTCTTTATCTTCCAAGGTAATTCTTTTCTTTACGGGCGCATCGTCTGAGAAAATTTCAAAACAGACACGGTTTCCTGCCTGTGACTTAAGAAATGCTGCACACGGATTCAAGAGTTGGCCAATTCAAGACTGACTCAAAAGCCAGTAGAGTTAAGTATTTCCAAAAAAATTCTGGTCATCCGACATTTGGTGCGAGCAAAACCAAGAGTGAATTTCCTCTGCGGTGACGTAGAGTGCATTGTTTGGGGGCAGCAGGAAGGAGAGCAACTGGGTCAAAATGGAAATATAATGCCTGCTTACAAAAAAGCCAAGGCTGTCCGCACAATTAGCATATTCATGCTCAATTTCTGGCATTCCTGAGTCAGTTGCCAAGCCGAACTACGAGCAAATAGAATTGCACGCAGAGAACGGGCGCCGACTCATCATCGCGGCGCGGTTGCTATTCGGATTGACATTGGCCTTGAGATTTTGATCCGTTAACAGCACTCGCAATCGCCTCCGCGATCAATATTATTGTTATTTAAGAGTTATGCTATTGTTCTTGGCACCTTCGGCCGGCCGGCGCTTATTTTAATTTAATTTTGTTGTTTTCAATCAACTTGCGATGCGGGCTTTGATTTAATTTAACTTGTCCTAAAAAAAATTTGGGTCCAAGTCCACAATCTCTACTGATCTCTAATATTCAATACAAAAAATTATGAAGAGCCATACTTGTGATGCAGATAAAAAGCCCCCTTTAGTTTTGGATGAATTGGTGAAAGATTAAATTCTAATTTATGGAGAGAAAATAAATTGGATTATGCAAAAATAAAACTCCAAGCTCCGTAAAGCTGACGGTGATTTTGATATGAATACTAAAATATTCTGCAATTATTTCTTTTCAGAATTGATGAATTTAAAAAAAACACATAATAGTGATGAAGGCCCTACTAATTTGGTTAAAAAACCAAAATAAATCATTTATGATTTATGTTGCATTTTCCCCATTATATTTTTTTTTAACCAAATGCTATGCACGAATCTCGCACGTTCTGCCATTTCCTTTCGAATGATGAAAGTTTCCCAAAATTTTCATTTTGTGCGTTAAACTGAAGCGGAAACTGTCCACTTTAGCACGTCACTGCGCCTGCCTCAATAAAATTCAAACTTTTAATGCATTGAGTCCAGCCAGACCAGCGTAATTTTTGTAACAAAAGCAGGAACGACTCGAAAAGGAAATTCGCTTCCTTCCTCTGTGCGGTGCATCGCGGACGAGCGACCGCGCCAACCACTCGGCGGATCGGGTGGCCATGGGGAATGCCAAAGTCTAGGTCAGGGTGAAGTGTGTGAAAGGCTCGAGGACGAGTCGCAGGCACCGCGACAAGATCAATAATCCGCCCCTAAGCAGGCAGCCGGAGCCCGCCACAGCACCCCAATGCAGTTGCTCGCAACATCCAGCACGCCGAGGGTTGCGTGCCGTGGCACCCCTTCAAATGCACCACACGACGAGTGCATGTGTTCAAAATGTGACCGAAAATTTGGCTCGGCTCCAATTTCCAATCAGTTTACGCACTCGAAATTCGAGTGAAAGGCTTTTGGCTTTGTTGCCATAAATAATTTTTTTTTTTTTAACAAGAGTTTTATAAAAAATTTTTTGCTCAAGCAATAATGATTTGATAAATAAAAATTTGCATTTTATTTAGTTATTACTTCTTTCCATGAATCTCTGCATAATTCAATTAAGTTCCGGCAAAACTTATCTCCGAAAATGATTTTAAAAAATATACCAAAAAAATGTCTTTCTTATTCAAAGTTAACACTAGAGGTTGATTTCATGAAAATTAATTTGAATGTAAGTTTTACATATCTTATTTAGTTTTTTTTTTTTTACTTTTTCAAATAATTTTGGCTAATTCAAAAATTTATACTTCACAAAACAAGATTTGCATTGAATTAAGTTGAGATTATTTATTTAGCATTATTGTAAGCAGAAAAAGTGTATCGAACGTGATGAATATATTAAATTCCCATCCCATTATGATTTGGAGGTGCAAGAAAACCTCACTTCAAACGAATCAAAGGATTATTCTCGGCTGTCGTCCCACGCTTATATTTTCAGTCCCAGAGCGAAACACAATATTATTTCCCCGACACCGGCAGCCGGCCGGCGACCAAAACCGACAAAAAACCCGACCTGAGCGAAGGTGCGAAAAGAGAGAAAAGGATAAAATAGGTGTTGGTCTGCTCGGGCGGGACAAGGGACTCACCACATCTTCCATCCAGGCCGTATCCATGCCGTCGCCGCGAGAATCGCCGCTCACTGACACACCATTACCAGGTGCAATCACTAAACGCTGCACTTGTCTCGGCAAAACAGACGATTATTGTGCAGGCGCAGATAAGCAAGAGAGCGACCCGAACCAGCCAGCGACCCTCCTACTTTTCCCGATGCAACTCTGCTGCGACGTCTGCGGCTGACTCGCGAGCGAGCCGAGCGGGCCCCTCGCGCCGTCCGCCAGCCGATCACACCAAAGCGCCTCTACTGGCTATTCCAAAAGCAGCCCTCCTCCTTTTGCTTTGCACCACGACCGTACGCAAGCTTTTCTTGGCCGCTCTTTTTGCTGCCTCCAAAAAGCACCAACTCGAAAGCTCAAGGGATAAAATTATTAGCACCAAATTTTTTTAATTACTTGGAAGGTTCAAGGATACAAGCAGAAAAGGTTCATCACATTTATCACTATGTGCAAGATTTAAAATATTTGATGATGCGAAGATTTACAGTGATTTTTTTTTAAATTTCCTAATTTAGCATTATCAAAATCTTGAAACTATGTTATTTTTAAGCTTAATTTTAAAAGAAACTTTTTTCAAAATAATTAAATATATTATAAAATGTATAAATAATCACAGGAGATTGCAGATTTTTAATCTCCAAAAACAACTTATTGTTACAAAGGAAAGTTGCAATAAATTCAAGTCCTATATTTTTAAGTATGAACGCTGTAAACAAATTAAGCTGATTAATCCAAAACTGGTAGTAACTGGACCTTCGTAAAAGGTATAGTTAATGAAGACGAAATTTATCAATTAATATAATAGATTATTAATAAATAAATTATGAAAATCTAAAAAAAAAATATAGTGTTGAAGTTGGATCATTTGGATTATTATAGACCAGAATACTACCTAAAAGTTCCTTTCTTTAGAACTAACTTTGGAGTAGTTTGCCAATTAAATCGATTTTTGTTGCCCTCAATGGACGCCTGATTGGAATTTTGCCAGTAAACATTTAGTTACAATTGTGTTTATTAATGTACCACCGGGCATTCTCTGCCCAAATACATCATCCATACATTCAATATTATAAATTGCATTGATTACAAGAGAGAGAAATTACATCAAAAAATACAAAGACAGAACATACAAAGTAAATAGCCCTGAAATTGATATTGTTTATTATAAATATTACTTTTTGTTTGTTTTGTTTTTTGCCATCATTACAGACCTGTTCATGTCGTCAGCACTTTGTCGCTATTTATTTTAAACTAGTCTTTTATCTTAGACATAGCCTAGCTTGTACTGTTTTTCTTTTACGACTCAGGAAAGGTGGCCTCCTTATTGAACTTATTCATTTTCATTTATAATTGTTAATTTCTCACAGTAATTATTTATATTTATTCAAGTAAGATTGCATCAAATTATTTTTGAAGACATTAATATTTTCATTCAGACACCAGTTCGCCTGCAACGCATTCCATAAATGATAGCTCTGCATTTTAAAAGAAAAATCACCACAGTCAAAAGGTGGCAGCAGAAAAAGTTTGTGTGATCTAGCAGCTCTCGAATGATGCTCATCTCGCAATAAAAATAATTCTTTTAAATAGGGTGGGCTATTTCCATGCAAAGTTTTATGTGTCATAAGAAGTATGTTAAGCTGCATTCGCTCCTCAACTCTGAGAATTCCTGCTTTCACATAGAAGGGTGTAATTCGATCACCAAACTTGACATCATAAACATATCTTAAACAATTATTTAATGCAACATCAAGTCGTTTCAGACGCTCCTTTCTCACATCACAGTAAACTATGCTGCAATAATCTAAATGTGGGAGAATTAAACTTTTTAGCAACTGTAGCCGTACCTTTTGAGGCGTAAAATTGCGAAATTTATTCAGGTTATTCAAAGTGCTGTAAATTTTCTGACAAACAGTTGAAATCTGCTTATCCCATCGAAATTCTTTATCAAAATGAACTCCTAAATTTTTAAACGTGTCTACAAATTCAATATTAGAATTGTTAATTGCCAGCGGAGGAAGAACATTAAAGTTTATTAATTTATTCATTTGAGGAGAGGAAATTATCATAGCTTTAGTTTTTGCTGCATTCAATTTTAATCCATGCCTTTCGGACCATTTTGCCACATCCTGCAAAATTAAATTCATAATTCCTATTGCATCAGCTAGTTCTTTCACTCCACATTCAATATACAGCTGAACATCGTCCGCATACACATGATATTTACACCTGCTCTTAAAAATTCTGTTTATATCAATCATATAAAGTGAAAAAAGAAGTGGACCAAGCACTGAACCCTGGGGCACTCCACAATTTAATTCAGCCCATTTGGAATATTTTCCATCGCTGCCTTTTACTGCTTGCTTTCTGTCAGAAAGATAATTATTAAACCATTGCAAAACAGGCGGTGAAAAATTTAGCTGGGAAAGTTTTCTCAGTAAGAGTTTATGATCAACGGTATCAAAAGCCTTAGAATAGTCAAGAAAAACCATTAAAACAACTTTTTTGCGAAAAAGCGCTGCCCTTATATCCTCGGCTATTTTCAGCAAAGCGGAAGTCGTGCTATACAATTTTCTGTAGGCAGATTGAAACTCGTCTAAATAATTATTATTTTTTAAGAATTCCTGAATTTGTTTGAACACAATTTTTTCAACGACCTTCGATATTGTGCTTAAGAGACTTATTGGACGAAATTCACTTGCTTTGGAAGGGATGCGCACCTTTGGGATTGGACTTAGAATTACTTTTTTCCACGCACTTGGAAATACAGCCATCTGTAGAGATGAATTAATAATATTAGTGAGCGTTGGCATCAGAACACAGCAAATTTTCTTTATCATGCTAATACAAATTTTGTCATGCCCCTCAGCTGCCGAAGTAATGCTGAAAATTGCTTTTTTAATATCCACAGGGTTTGCATAAGAAAAGTGAAATGGTTCGTTATTCTTTATACCTGGAATTACATAATTATTATCAATTTTAGCAAGCTGGCTTTGGTCGCGCACTACCGTCAGCTCTTCTACCATAATATCTAGACTAACAGGGAGACTTGCATGATTATGTTTTGATTTTATCAAGCCCATATTTCTAAGTTTACTCCAAATTTGGCCTGAATTATTGAGGGAACTTAACTGATCAAAAACTCGGCTTCTATAAAAGGTTAAAATCAACTGCTTCACTCTGTTTTTAACAGCCCTATAAACATCAAACAGATATCGATTGTTTTTAATACGACGAGCAAGGCTCAGCAGACGATCACGGTGGGATATTTCGGACCTGATTTGCAAGGGAAGTTTTGGTTTAAAATTTTTAGGCACACATCGCCTCTGCAGTGGCACAAATTCATTATAAAAATCAATGAGCATTTTATTAAATTTTTCAACTTTGCCATCAATCGTTAGTTCAGCTCCACATAAAAACCATTCAACATTTAACGCCTTCTCTTGTAGAAAATTATTATCTGCTGCAGAAAAATTCCTATACATTGCAAATTCACTCTCAGCCTCAATTATTTTTGAGTCAAAAATCGCAAATAATATTTCATGACTAGATAAAGGATTAAGCAATTTTCCGAAATTAGTGCAATTTAACATGTCCGAAACAAAAATAGCATCAATTGTTGTAACTGCATTATATGATATGTGAGTGTCTTTAATAGGCAACCGATTAAGACTTAGATCCTGCAATTCTGTTTCCAGTTCTTTACCTTCACGTGATCCATCTGCAAAATTGTAGTTAAAATCTCCTAAAACAATCACATTTGCATATTTAGCACTCATTTCATTCAATTTATTCAAAAAATTAGTTAATTTTGTTAGTCTGCTAGGGCGCCTGTAAATTACTGCTACTAAAATATTTCCATTCACCTGCTCCACTTCACACAAGATATATTCTGTAAGTTGCAAATTATTATTTTGCGGAGATGCCGCTAGTTTCTTATATTTTAAACCTTTCTTTAAATAGATCGCTACTCCACCTCCTCGTGCACCTTCCCTATCATTGCGTAAAATATTATAACCAATCACATCAACTAGGTTATCTGCGTGCTTATCTTTGAGCCAAGTTTCTGAAACTCCTATAATATCAATTACTTTTTCAGCTAGCAAGTGACGAAAAAGCACAATGTGGTTTACATCAGCAAGGGATTGCGCATTAAGAAAAATTACTTTGAGAAATTGGTTTTGAGAACCAACGCCATGACCTCTCCTCCTTTGCTGCTTCCTCAAGGCCGCTCTGTTTACTATTTTTCCTAAATTACCGTAACAAAACCAAATGGTCCAGAGTGGAAATCTCAGCGGCCTTACATCCGAGGCGGCCGAATCGCAATGCGAATTGAACACTTGGCATTCACGTACCTTATTTGCACAAATTCTGCTAGATTGGAGCTCAAATGATGCAAAAATCGTCAGAAAAAGTAGCAGCGACTGCACTACTGCAGCCGTGCATCTGGCCATTTTCCCCCTCTCATTTACACTGAATTAAATTTATTTTGGTAAAATAGTGTGGCATCAGTTAATTTGATTTCTTTGCTCTTTAGAAATATATTATTTTAACATTGGTTTTGCATTATTTGCATGAATGTACTAAATAATTTTTCTATAATTTACAATTTGCAAAATCCCTGACAGTAGTCAATGTGAAAAAGAGTATTTTTCATGAAAATAATGCTTAAGAATTTGTTTTTTAAATTTGTTTTGTTTAGTTCATTCAACATATTTTTTTTTTATCCGACTTGTTTACAAATGTTAAACTAATATAAATTTATCTATCTCAACAATCTATCTATTCTTTCCAGCCTTGAAAATTGCAAGTGTATGAGCAAAGATTAATTACATATTATTATAGAACTTGAACTTTGACACTTTTCAAAGACTTGAAGGTTGGATTCAGTTAGAAAAGTGCCCGCATTGGAGGTTGGAGCAGATAGTGACGTCGTATGTACTCCCACAAATTGATAGGTTCTGCAGTATTACAAAATCTACCACGCGAGAGTCGTTTAAACAGCAATAGTTTAGCACCACAGCGTGCTTTTAAACAGCGACGAACGATAAACGGGTCTTTATCAGGCACTCTCAAGTTGCATAAACGGAAGTTTTTGGGACAGAGTGGTGCTTTGTGCCATTTAAATTGGGTCGAGGACTTTCCGCGA